CAAGCGCTCCCAACAGACGGCCACAGGGATCACAATACTAGAGTGAGAAGAGCTCAAGTTCCATCCAGTCCAGCCCCCTGCTCCATCCAGTTCGGCCCCATCAGAGCCCTCCCAGCAGATGATCATCCACCAACTACTTCAAAACCTCCAGAGAAGACTTCATAGTCATCATTATTATCATAGTATTATCATCATCATCATCATCCTCATAGACCCCAAGGGCTATCCAATGCAACCCTCTTCTGTCAGACAGGAAGATACCATCAGAGCTCTCCCAACAGATGATCATCCAGCCACTGCTTCAATTCCTCCAGAGAAGACGACTCCATTGTCATCGTTATTATTATTATTATTATTATTATTATTATTATTATTATTATTAAATTCTAGAGTTGGAAGAAACCCCACAGGCCATCCAGTACAACCCCCTTCTGCCAGGCAGGAAGGCCACATCAGACCTCTCCTGACAGATGACCCTCCAGCCACTACTTCAAAACCTCCAGAGAATAAGACTGTATTGTCATCATTATGATCAAAGATGTTTATTATTATAGAAGCCTGGAATTGGAAGACACACCAAGGGCTACTCAATGCATCCCTCTTCTTCCAGGCAGGAAGACACCATCAGAGCTCTCCCAACAGATGGCCATCCAGGCACTGCTTCAAAACCTTCTGAGAAGACTCCATCGTCATCATTTTTATCAAAGATTATTATTATCATTATCATTATTATTATTATTATTATTATTATTATTATTAAAGCCTAGATTTGGAAAAGACCCCGAGGGCCATTCAGCCCAACCCCCTCCCAACAAATGGCCATCCAGCCACTGCTTCAAAACCTCCAAAGAAGACTCCATTGTTATCATTATTATTATCAAAGATGATTATGATGATTATTATAGAAGCCTAGAGTTGGAAGAGACTCCAAGAACCACCCATTGCAACCTCCTTTTGCCAGGCAGGAAGACATCATCAGAGACCTCTTGACAGATGGTCATCCAGCCTCTGCTGATAAATCTCCAGAAAAGACGGCTCTATTATTGTTGTTGTTGTTATTGAATCACAGAGTTGGAAGAGACGACAAGGGCCATCTAATCCAACGCTTTTTGCAGCACACAATCAAAGCACTCCCGACAGATGGCCATCCAGCCACTGCTTCAAAACCGTCAGAGAATAAGACTCTATTGTCATCATTATTACCAAAGATTATTGTTATAGAAGCCTGGAGTTGGAAGAGACCCGGAGGGCCATTCATCCCATTCTGCCAGGCTGGAGGACACCACCTGAGCCCTCCCAACAGATGGCCATTCAGCCACTGCTTCAAAACCTCCAGAGAATAAGACTCTATTGTCATCATTATTACCAAAGATTATTATTATTATTATTATAGAAGCCTGGAGTTGGAAGAGACCACAACGGCCATCTAGTGTAATCCCTTCTTGTATGCAGAAAGGTACTATGCGAGCCCTCCTGACAGATGGCCATCCAGCCACTGCTTCTAAACCTCCAGAGAAGACTCCATCATCATTATTATTGTTATCAAAGATTATTATTATTATAGAAACCTGGAGTTGGAAGAGACCACAAGGGCCATCTAGTGTAATCCCCTTCTTGTAGGCATAAAGATACTAGGCGAGCCCTCCCGACAGATGGCCATCCAGCCACTGCTTCAAAACCTTCAGAGAATAAGACTCTGTTGTCATCATTATTACCAAAGATTATTATTGTTATAGAAGCCTAGATTTGGAAGAGACCCCGAGGGCCATTCAGCCCAATCCCCTTCTGCCTTGCAGGAGGACATCACCTGAGCCCTCCCGACAGATGGCCATCCAGCCACTGCTTCAAAACCTCCAGAGAATAAGACTCTGTTGTCATCATTATTATCAAAGATTATTATTGTTATAGAAGCCTAGATTTGGAAGAGACCCGGAGGGCCATTTATTTATTTTATTTATTTACGATATTTATATGCCGCCCTTCTCACCCCGAAGGGGACTCAGAGCGGCTTACAAGGTATATATACATACAATATATTATTAACATAGTACAATATCAGTTTTAAATATTGCTATATTGCACTATATCAATTATACTGTAATATTATTAGTAATATTACATGTAATATAAATATATAATTATAATATCATATTATTATTAGTATTATATTGCATTATTGTTTTGTTGTTCATTTGTTCAGTCGTCTCCGACTCTTCGTGACCTCATGGACCAGCCCACGCCAGAGCTCCCTGTCGGCCGTCACCACCCCCAGCTCCTTCAAGGTCAGTCCAGTCACTTCAAGGATGCCATCCATCCATCTTGCCCTTGGTCGCCCCCTCTTCCTTTTTCCTTCCACTTTCCCCAGCATAATTGTCTTCTCTAAGCTTTCCTTTCTTCTCATGATGTGGCCAACATCTATCCCTCCAATGAGCAGTCAGGCTTTATTTCCTGAAGTATGGACTGGTTGGATCTTCTGGCCGTCCAAATATTGTATTACATTACAATATTATAAATATTATATGTATATACAATATATTATATATTATATTATAACATATTATTAGAATAGCACAGGAGACAAGGTGGAACTGTCCCCTGGCCCCCCTTTCTTCACTCCGGCCCAGAGCGGCCCATTCAGCCCAACCCCCTTCTGCCAGGCAGGAGGACACCACCTGAGCCCTCCCAACAGATGGCCATCCAGCCACTGCTTCAAAACCTTCAGAGAATAAGACTCTATTGTCATCATTATTACCAAAGATTATTATTGTTATAGAAGCCTAGATTTGGAAGAGACCCCGTGGGCCATTCAGCCCAACCCCCTTCTGCCAGGCAGGAGGACACCACCTGAGCCCTCCCGACAAATGGCCATCCGGCCACTGCTTCAAAACCTCCAGAGAATAAGACTCTATTGTCATCATTATTACCAAAGATTATTATTATTATAGAAGCCTGGAGTTGGAAGAGACCACAAAGGCCATCTAGTGTAATCTCTTCTTGTATGCAGAAAGGTACTATGCGAGCCCTCCTGACAGATGGCCATCCAGCCACTGCTTCTAAACCTCGGCCATCTAGTGTAATCCCTTCTTGTATGCAGAAAGGTACTGTGCGAGCCCTCCTGACAGATGGCCATCCAGCCACTGCTTCTAAACCTCAGCCATCTAGTGTAATCCCTTCTTGTATGCAGAAAGGTACTATGTGAGCCCTCCTGACAGATGGCCATCCAGCCACTGTTTCAAAACCTTCAGAGAATAAGACTCTATTATCATCATTATTATCAAAGATTATTATTAACAAAGATTTTTATTATTATAGAAGCCTGGAGTTGGAAGAGACCACAACGGCCATCTAGTGTAATCCCTTCTTGTATGCAGAAAGGTACTATGCGAGCCCTCCTGACAGATGGCCATCCAGCCACTGCTTTTAAACCTCCAGAGAAGACTCCATCATCATTATTATTATTATCAAAGATTATTATTGTTATAGAAACCTGGAGTTGGAAGAGACCACAAGGGCCATCTAGTGTAATCCCCTTCTTGTAGGCAGAAGGATACTATGCGAGCCCTCCCGACAGATGGCCATCCAGCCACTGCTTCAAAACCTTCAGAGATTAAGACTCTGTTGTCATCATTATTATTAAAGATTATTATTGTTATAGAAGCCTAGATTTGGAAGAGACCCCGAGGGCCATTCAGCCCAATCCCCTTCTGCCAGGCAGGAGGGCACCACCTGAGCCCTCCCAACAGATGGCCATCCAGCTACTGCTTCAAAACCTTCAGAGAATAAGACTCTATTGTGATCATTATCACAATAGAGGATACCATCTGAGCCCTCCCAACAGATGGCCATCCAGCCACTGCTTCAAAACTTCCAGAGAAGACTCCATTGTCATTATTATTATTATTATTTTTAGGGAATCCTAGAGTTGGAAGAGACCCCAAGGGCCATGTAGTACAACCTCCTTCTGCCAGGCAGGAAGACACCATCAGACCCCTCCTGACAGATGGCCATCGTCATCATCATTATTATCAAAGATGATTATGATTATAGAAGCCTAGAGTTGGAAGAGACTCCAAGAACCACCCATTGCAATCTCCTTTTGCCAGGCAGGAAGACATCATCAGAGACCTCTTGACAGATGGCCATCCAGCCTCTGCTTCAAAACCTTCAGAGAATAAAACTCTATTGTCGTCATTATTATCAAAGATTATTATTGTTATAGAAGCCTAGATTTGGAGGAGACCCGGAGGGCCATTCAGCCCAACCCCCTTCTGCCAGGCAGGAGGACACTATCTGAGCCCTCCCGACAGATGGCCATCCAGCCACTGCTTATTTATTATTTATTTATTACAGTTACTTCTACCCCGCCCTTCTCACCCCCCGGGGGGGGGGGACTCAGGGCGGCTTACAAACAAAGGCACAATTCGATGCCTGAATTAATTAAACAAACAATACATAAAACAATGTAAACAATTAACAGGTTAAAACATTAATACATAATAAAATAGCAGAACAATCTCATGCTCAGTGTTCAGAGTTCCATATATCCATTACATTCCATTCGCCCGTGTATATCGTCAGATCTTCCCTTAACTGCCAGAATGTCCAAAAGCTTGGTCCCATATCCACGTCTTCAGTTTTTTCCTGAACGCCAAAAGGGAAGTCGCTGATCTAATCTCCCCGGGGAGTGAGTTCCACAGGTGAGGGGCCACCACTGAGAAGGCCCTGCTCCTCGTCCCCGCCAACCTCACTTGTGATAGTGGCGGGGTGGAGAGCAGTGCCTCCCCAGACGATCTTAAATTTCGAGACCTTCAGAGAATAAGACTCTATTGTCATCAGTATTACCAAAGATTATTATTGTTATAGAAGCCTAGATTTGAAGGAGTCCCGGAGGGCCATTCAGCCCAACCCTCTTCTTCCAGGCAGGAGGACACCACCTGAGCCCTCCCGACAGATGGCCACTCCCCACGGCGGCACGCCCCTCGCGGAGGGCTTCCTCTCACCTGGGCACACAGCTGGGCGAGCTGCGGTCCACCTCCCAAGTGGCGTAGAGGTTCATTTGGACGGGGCGCCCCCCCGCTGCCGCCGCGGGTCCCAGGAGCGCGGGCTGAGAGGCCGACGAGGCGGCGGCGGCGGAGGAGGAGGAGGAAGGCGGCGGGGGAGGCTGCCCGGCCACCGCTGCGGGAGACGCCACCTGAGGGGACGGCGACGGCGAGGAGGAAGAGGCCGACGAGCTTGGCTGAGGCGGCTGCGGCGGGAGCAGAGAAGGCGCCGACGAGGAGGACGACGACGAGGCCCGTTGGCAGCCGCCGCCGCCGCCGGACGCCCCCCGTTCCGCCATGTTGGTGCCCCTCAGAGGAAACGAGCGCCTCTCTCGCTCTGAGGGCACGCGCACAGTCGCAGCGGGGAGGCGCATGCGCGGAGCGGAGGAGGCGGCCAGCAACGGTTGCTCCCCAGAGAAGAAAAGGGGGCGGGGACTCGCGCGCGCACTCCCTCCCTCCTCCTCCCTCCCTTCTCCTCCCTCCCTTCTCGTGTCCCTCGCGCGCTCATTGGTTGGAAAGAGGCTTCGTTATTGGCAGTCCTCCTCGCCCCGCCCCCGTTTCCAAGCAACGGCTCCTCCCTCTCTTTTCTCTCCCCCCTCCCATCGAGCTCCCCTCTGAGGAAATGTTTTTGGAGGGAAGCGACAATCTTGCGCGCTCCCCGCGCCCTTCTCCTGCCCCTCGCGCGCTCATTGGCTGGCAGGAGGCTTCTTGGCATTCCGCCCCGCCCCCGTTTCCAAGCAACGGCTCCTCCTCTTCTTTCTCTCCCCCCTCCCATCGAGCTCCCCTCTGAGGGAATGTTTTTGGAGGGAAGCGATAAGAAAACGTTCGCGCGTGCGCACCTCTTGCGCGCTCCCCGCCCTTCTCCTGCCCCCCGCGCGCTCATTGGCTAACAAGAGGCTTCTTGGTATTTGCCCGCCCACGTTTCCAAGCAACGGCTCTCCCTCACTTCTTCCCCTCCCCTCGAGCTCCTCTCTGAGGAAATTAGGATAAAACGCCCCCCTTCGACACTGCCTTATAATGCAGTCTGAAACCGCATTATATGTTCAGTGTAGACGCATAGAATGCGAAATATGAGTCTATATATAATATTGGAATGTGTCCAGAGGGGGGCGACTCAAATGATCAAGGGTCTGGAGAACAAGCCCTATGAGGAGCGGCTTAAGGAGCTGTGCCAACAATGTGATGTGGCGGCAAAAAAAGCCAATGGGATTTTGGCCTGCATCAATAGGAGCCTAGTGTCTAGATCTAGGGAAGTCATGCTCCCCTCTATTCTGCTTTGGTTAGACCACACCTGGAATATTGTGTCCAATTCTGGGCACCACAATTCAAGAGAGATATTGACAAGCTGGAATGTGTCCAGAGGAGGGCGACTAAAATGATCAAGGTCTGGAGAACAAACCCTATGAGGAGCGGCTTAAGGAACTGGGCATGTTTAGCCTGAAGAAGAGAAGGCTGAGAGGAGACATGATAGCCCTGTATAAATATGTGAGAGTTGACAAGCTGGAATGTGTCCAGAGGAGGGCGACTAAAATGATCAAGGGTCTGGAGAACAAGCCCTATGAGGAGCAGCTTAAGGAGCTGGGCATGTTTAGCCTGAAGAAGAAAGCTGAGAGGAGATATGATAGCCATGTATAAATATGTGAGAGGAAGCCACAGGGAGGAGGGAGCAAGCTTGTTTTCTGCTTCCTTGGAGACTAGGACCCGAAACAATGGCTTCAAACTACAAGAGAGGAGATTCCATCTGAACATGAGGAAGAACTTCCTGACTGTGAGAGCCGTTCAGCAGTGGAACTCTCTACCCTGAGTGTGGTGGAGTCTCCTTCTTTGGAAGCTTTTAAACAGAGGCTGGATGGCCATCTGTCAGGGGTGCTTTGAATGCATTATTCCTGCTTCTTGGCAGGGGGTTGGACTGGATGGCCCATGAGGTCTCTTCCAACTCTATGATTCTATAATTTTATAATATAATATAATATAACTACCTTGGCAGCCACCTCTCCACAAAAGTCAACATTAACACTGAAATACAACACCGCCTGAGCTCTGCGAGTGCAGCATTTTTCCGAATTGAAGCAGAGAGTTTTTGAGGACCGGGACATCCGTAGCGATACCAAGGTGCTTGTTTATAAGCTATTGTCCTCCCAACCCTGCTATATGCCTGTGAGACATGGACTGTCTACAGATGTCACATGCAACTCCTGGAATGATTCCCTCAGCGTTGCCTCCGAAAAATCCTGCAAATCTCTTGGGAAGACAAGCGGACAAACATCAGCGTGCTGGAAGAAGCAAAGACCACCAGCATTGAAGCGATGGTCTTCCACCATAAACTCCGCTCGACTGGCTATGTTGTCTGGCTACCTGACCACCGTCTCCCAAAACAGTTGCTCTATTCTGAATGGAAAATGGTCCCAATCAGGGTTGGTTTGACACACCTTCCTCTTGTCACGTTTCTCTCTTACAACTTCCATTCGTGCCTCTTCAAATTCTGCAACACTGCGGGTCACAGCTGACCTCCAGCTGGAGCACACAAGGGCCAGGGCTTCTCAGTTCTGAGTGTCTATGCCCGTTTTTAAGGTTGGCTTTGAGCCCATCTTTAAATCTCTTTTCCTGCCCACCAACATTCTGTTTTCCGTTCTTGAGTTCGGAGTAGAGCAACTGCTTTGGAAGACGGTGGTTAGGCATCAGGACAACGTGGCCGGTCCAGCGGAGTTGATGGTGGAGGACCATCACTTCAATGCCAGTGGTCTTTGCTTCTTCCAGTACGCTGACGTTTTTCCACCTGTCTTCCCAAGAGATTTGCAGGATTTTTCGGAGGCAGCACTGATGGAAGCATTCGAGGAGTTGCACGTGACGTCTACAGATAGTCCACGTCTCGCAAGCTTATAGCAGGGTTGGGAGGACAATAGCTTTATAAGCAAGCATCCCTATGGATGTCCTGGTGTTCACATTCTGTGCTTCATTCGGGAAAATGCTGCACTCGCAGAGCTCACATGGTGTTGTATTTCAGTGTCGATGTTGACTTTGGTGGAGAGGTGGCTACCAAGGTAGCAGAAATGATCAACATTTTCTAATGTTATGCCGTTAAGCTGTATTTCTGGCCTTGGAGAGGGATTGGATCTATATAATACTGCCTGAATAATTCACTATTGATATATTGAATATAATTCAATATTATATATTGATTCTATAGAATACTGTACATAGGTTCATATGCTACATTATATGGTCATTCATCCAACCCGCATTAGTCCGTTTGGTGACTTTGTTAGAAAGTTTGCCATCTGAAGTTATCATTGATCCGAGATACTTGTAAGGTGTTGACTTTTGGGAGATCCACCCCATCCACCTGGATGGTACCAGTCTCCTCCTCGTTGGTCATCAGTGACTCCGTCTGAGGCGATGACCAAATTGCTCCTGCCAGTCACACCATGCTAGGACTTGACTTTCAAGTTCTTCCTTGACCTGAGAAGCAAGCATTATGTCGCCAGCATACAGCAAAGTCCAAGGTGCTTGTTTCAGCAGATCTCTAGTAACTGCATCCATTACAACAACAACGAGGGGAGAGAGGGCTGGGCCCAGATGCACATTGACGTTGATGGGGAACTCCAACAATGTGCTGGCAGTGGCCTGCACCCTGCTTTTTGGATCACTGTACAGCAGTGTTTCTCAACCTTCCTAATGCTGCGACCCCTTAATACATTTCCTCATGTTGTGGTGACCCCCAACCATAACATTATTTTGCTACTTCATAACTGTAATTTTGCTCCTGTTATTAATTGTAATGCAATTATCTGATAAGCAGGATGTATTTCCATTCACTGGACCAAATTTGGCACAATTACCCAATTAAATGCAAATCAAGGGGGTCAGTCGAAACATTCACACCTAGCTCCAGCAGACAAGAGTCCTTTGTCCCACCCTGGTCATTCAACAGATATATAAACCCATTTTCCTAGTTCCAACAGACCTCACTACCTCTGAGGATGCTTGCCATAGATGCAGGCGAAACATCAGGAGAAAATGCCTCTAGAACATGGCCATATAGCCCAGAAAAACCTACAACAACCCAATACCCAATATACCCAAAATTGGATTTGGGGGGGGGGGGTGGTTGATTTTGTCATCTGGGATTTATAGTTCACCTACAATCAAATTGCATTCTGAACTCCAGCAACGACGGAATTGAACCAATTTGACACCTAAAACTACCATGGCCAACAGGAAACACGGGAAGGGTTTGGTGGGCATTGACCTTGAGTTTGGAGTTGTAGTTCACCTACATCCAGAGAGCACTGTGGACTCAAATAATGATGGATCTGGACGAAACTTGACATGAATACTCAATGTACCCAAATATGAACACTGGTGGACTTTGGGGAAAATAGACCTTGACATTTGGGAGTTGTAGTTGCTGGGATGTATAGTTCACCTACACTCAAAGAGCATTCTGAACCCCATTAACAATTAAATTGGACCAAACTTCCCTCACAGAACCCCCAATGACCAACAGAAAATACTGTGTTTTCTTATGGTCTTTGGCGACCCCTCTCACACTCACTGGCGACCCCCGCAGGGGTCCCGACCCCCAGGTTGAGAACCACTGCTGTACAGAATCTGGACCCATCTGACCAGTTCTTTGGGAACAGCATGTTGTTGTAATGCGTACCAAATAACTTCATGAGGGACACGATGTAGGGGTTCTTTACTCCAACTGAGGTTCTATGGATTTGCAATGTCATTCCATCTGAACACGAGGAAGAACTTCCTGACTGTGAGAGCCGTTCAGCAGTGGAACTCTCTGCCCCGGAGTGTGGTGGAGGCTCCTTCTTTGGAAGCTTTTAAACAGAGGCTGGATGGCCATCTGTCAGGGGTGATTTGAATGCAATATTCCTGCTTCTTGGCAGGAGGTTGGACTGGATGGCCCATGAGGTCTCTTCCAACTCTTTGATTCTATGATTCTATGATTTAGTATCATAGAATCATTGAGTTATCTGGCACCATTTACAAAAGTGGTTCTCAACCTGGGGTCCCCAGATGTTTTTGGCCTTCAACTCCCAGAAATCCTAACAGCTGGTAAACTGACTCGGGTTTCTGGGAGTTGTAGGCCAAAACACCTGGGGACTCATAGGTTGAGAACCAATTGGATTATTATTAGGCTTGGGCAATCCATGGTTCTAAATGGTTCTAAAGTACTTACAAAAATAAAGTTCTGGTGGTGAAAATTTCAGAACTCTAACAAAACTTTCAAAATTTAATTATTATTTCATTATTGGTGATTTTAATGACAGAACCAATTAGGAACTGCCATTTATTATGAAATTTTGAGAGTTTTGTTAGAGTTCTGAAATTTTCACCACCAGAACTTTAGTTTTGTAAGTACTTTAGAACCATTTAGAACCATGGATTGCCCAAGCCTACTGCCCATCTATATAGGACCTAAGCTTCAATGTCATAAATTACTCAAAGGCCATGGTGACTTTCCCATGTACCAGAGCCTACCTTCTCCCACCTTAAGGCAATTGACAAGATATAATTATATATTTATATTACATATAATATTACCAAGAATATTACAATATAATTGTTATAGCACAATATAGTACAATATAGCAATATTATTAATAATTTTACAATATAATTGGTATGGTACAATATAGTACAACAGGGGTCCTCAAACTAAGGCCCTCCAAGATCATTTACCCAGCCCTCGTTCAGGGTCAACCTAAGTCTGAAACGACTTCAAAGCACACAACAACAATCCTATCTCAGTGTAAACTTTTTTGTGCTTTTATTTTCCAGTTGTGAGAACCACTGGTATGTTTAAAAAGTTATGTATACAGGAATGCTAAAGCAGGGAGCTTTGAGATGGTAGAACAGAAGCTCTCCGAAGCTCTAGGTGCTCTTACTGCCTACTACAGGGAAAACCAACTGATCCCTAATCCATCTAAAACACAGACATGCGCCTTTCACCTTAAGAACAGACAAGCATCCCGAGCTCTGAGGATTACCTGGGAAGGAATCCCACTGGAGCATTGCAGCACACCCAAATACCTGGGAGTCACTTTGGACCGTGCTCTGACCTACAAGAAGCACTGCCTGAACATCAAGCAAAAAGTGGGCGCTAGAAACAACATCATACGAAAGCTGACTGGCACAACCTGGGGATCACAACCAGACACAGTGAAGACATCTGCCCTGGCACTTTGCTACTCTGCTGCTGAATATGCATACCCAGTGTGGAATACATCTCACCATATTAAAACAGTAGATGTGGCTTAATGAGACATGCCACATTATCACAGGATGTCTATGCCTTTCACCACTGGAGAAACTATACCACTTAGCCGTATTGCACCACCTGACATCCGCCGGGAAGTAGCAGCCAATAGTGAAAGGACCAAGGCAGAGACATCTCCAGCTCATCCCCTGTTTGAGTATCAGCCAGCACGTCAACGACTTAAATCAAGACATAGTTTTCTTAGATCTACAGAGACACTCGCTGGAACACCCCAGCAAGCGAGAGTCCAAAAGTGGCAGGCCCAAACCCAGCACCTCATTTCATGGGTGATACCAGATGAGAGACTCCCCCTGGGCACACAGAAGACTGGGCGACTTGGAAGGCGCTGAACAGACTGCGCTCTGGCACCACGAGATGCAGAGCCAATCTTAAGAAATGGGGCTCCAAAGTGGAATCCACAAAATGCGAGTGCGGAGAAGAACAAACCACTGACCACCTGCTGCAATGCACCCTGAGCCCTGCCACATGCACATGGAGGACCTTCTTGCGGCAACCCCAGAGGCACTCCAAGTGGCCAGATACTGGTCAAAGGACATTTAACCAAATACCAAATTTGCAAAATCTGTGTGGTTTTTTCTTTCTTTCTTTCTTTTTTCTTTTTAATCTTTGTGTTTGTTTTGCTCTGTTAGAATTGTAATACAATGGTTGCTGATGACACGATAAATAAATAAATATACAGGAATGGATAAATCACAGATATATAAGGGAAGCTACCTTAGGAAAGAATGTTTACTGAATGTTTAAACTCTCATCAGCCAAATCAGGCCCACACTTCCCACTGAATTACTAATAAGTTTATAATTGTTAAAATTGTTCTTTATTTTTTTAATTATTGTTTTTAAATGTTTTTTGCACTACAAATAAGATATGTGCAGTGTGCATAGGAATTCATTTTTTTTTCAAATTATAATCCGGCCTCTCCAACAGTTTGAGGGACTGTGACATGGGCCTCTGTTTAAAAAGTTTGAGGACCCTTGTTTTAAACTATGAAACTCTCTATTAAAGAGAAGTTTTTTTTTGTCGTGTCAGGAGCGTCCTGTTGTGAGAGAATTGGCCGTCTGCAAGGACGTTGCCCAGGGGACGCCTGGATGATTTTGATGTTTTATCATCCTTGTGGGAGGCTTCTCTCATGTCCCCGCATGAGGAGCTGGAGCTGATAGAGGGAGCTCATCCGCCTCTCCCCGGATTCGAACCTGCACCCTGTCGGTCTTCAAATATTTAAAACTGATATTGTACTATGCTAATAATATAATATATTGTATGTATATATACCTTGTAAACCACTTTGAGTCCCCTTCAGGGTGAGAAGGGCAGCATATAAATGTCGTAAACAAACAAACAAATAAATAAACGTCCCAGCATCACTTCCAATTCTAATTCTACATTTGGCCTTCCCAATGTTTTTAATTGTGTGCTGTCTTATTGATAATGTTGTATATTTTATTGTCTATGTTTTTTTTATTTGTATTGTTGTTTTATTGCTTGTATTGTTGTATTTGGGCTCAGCCTCATGTAAGCCGCACCGAGTCCCTTGGGGAGATGGTAGCGGGGTACAAATAAAGTATTATTATTATTATTATTATTATTATTCATATGTCCTTGCAGAATCTTGTCCTTCCTTTTGGCTAAAGGTCATGTGTTCTGTGTCAAGGCTTGCTGTCGACCTTTGCAACCCGAAAGACATTTGCATCTGTCAAGTAGGAAATTTAGGTACCACTTTATGTGGGGAGGCTAATTTAACTAATTTACAATGCCATAAAATCCTCAAGCAAGCATGCAGGGAATGAGGAAGTACTTCATCAGTGTCGCGGATGGACGGTGAAGCGACAGCTCCCCTTGTGGCCAGAAAAAATTGGAATGTTAAATGGCCTCTGTCTGTCTGTCTAAATATGTTGTGTGTGTCTATGGCATTGAACGTTTGCCATGTATATGTACATTGTAATCCACCCTGAGTCCCCTGCGGGGTGGGAAGGGTGGAATATAAATGCTGTAAATAAATAAAAGCTGATATATTTATACACACACACACACATACTTTCTGATATCCTAACAATCATCACTAATATGAGAATAATTTTGTCATGAATTTTTCATAAATGAGGGTACATTTAGCTACCATTTTCCTTTGCATGGCGACTTTGGGGATACCTTGTATTTGTTCCCTGCTTTTTCTCTCTAAAAAAGGGACCCAAAGCAGCTATTTTTCCCTACTGTTGATATATATTAGGGCTGGGCGGTTTCGTTCGTTAATTTCGTAATTCGTTATTAATTTGTATTTTTTTATTTTTTTTATTTTTTTATTATTTAAACTTATATGCCGCCACTCCCCTGGGGCTCGGAGCGGCTTACAAGAATAGCTAAAATCTAACAAAGTTTAAAAGCAATTTAAAACAATTTAAAAACAACAGTATCAAACATTAAAAGTCTGTCGAAACAGGTATGTCTTACATGCCCTGCGGAAAGCTGGTAAGTCCCGCAGGGCACGAACTTCAGGTGGCAGAGCATTCCAGACTGATGGCGCCACTGCTGTGAAGGCTCTGCGTCTGGTTGCTGTTAGACACAAGGTCTTGACACTGGGGACTTCCAATAGATCTTGGTCCTCAGAACGGAGGGATCTCTGGGGTTGGTAGGGGGTGAGGCGGTCCCTCAGGTACATCGGCCCCAGACCATGCAAGGCCTTAAAGGTGAGTACCATCACTTTGAAAGTGATCCGGTGCTCAATTGGTAACCAATGCAGCTGTAGTAAGATTGGTGTTATGTGGCATCTCATCGGAATTCCCGCAAGAAGCCGAGCAGCTGCATTTTGTACCAACTTGAGCTTCTGGATCACCGACAGAGGAAGGCCAATGTAGAGGGCGTTACAGTAGTCCAGTCTTGAGATGACCTTGGCCTGGATCACTTCGTAATTCGCTATTAATTCGTATTTAAATTAGCTTACGATCCGATATTGAGCCATGCAGGAGTAATTAAAAATCGAAACGAATTTTTTCAATTTATTTCGTAATTGTTTCGTAATTGTTTCGTAATTGTTTCGTAATTGTTTCGTAATTATTTCCGTATGTCTGGTGCAAGTTTTAGGGTTGTTGTTTGTTTTATCAGTGATAAAAATAAATTATCACACCAACAGTCAACAACAGAGGGAGAGGGAAGCTTCAGAAGTCCCCCCTGTCCCATTTGGAGGTTTTTTTAGCGTATTGCGCAATCGCGTCCGCCATTAACAATCGATTCGTAATTGTTTCGTAATTGTTTCGTAATTGTTTTGTAATTTATGAAATTTCGTAAATATCGAACTTTTTTTAAGGAAAATTTCGGAATTCTTTTAAATAACGAAATGCAAAAAAAAAAAAACCCTAAAAACGAATCGAGTTTAGAAACAAATTTTTCCGTGGTTACCCAGCCCTAAATATCATTCTCAAATTTTGAAGGGGAAAAGTCATATCTCAATAAAACTAAGTAGATATGCTCCTGAGAAATACTTTTGTCAGAAAATGGGGTATCACGAGGTAGAAACATGGCATTGAAACATGGAGGGGTTCCTATTCCACACAATAAAAGAAGAAAAGCGGTGCAAGGATATTTCAGCAAACGTTCATTTTGTCTGACATTTTACACTGTTATTTCCTTTGCTATTGATCTGATTTACTTTCAGCTTTGGTCTATTGAATGAGCTTGGCTGCTTTTTAAAATCTGATTGCTATTGCTATTAACTTGCCTTCAGAACCAAAAAAAGGGAAGAATATGCATGTTTTAACAAAACAAATAAAAGAAATGTTCTGGGAAAGCAAAGGTTTTCCAAAGTATAATTATTCTGCATTGCTTTGACAAGGAGACTAGGCATCATTTTTCACGCCTGGAAGAGGAATAGTTTATTGAACAATCTAAATATTATAGATTCTTGTAATAGATAAGTCAACAAAGCAAGATTAAATGCCAAGAAGCACTGCCTTTGTTTGCACCAAATTACTCATCGTTTTCATAATCGGCAGGGTTCTTTCTTTTCAGACGCTCAAACTCTTGGGTTCCCCAGGAATAAACAACGTAGGCGATGACAAATGCTTTTGGGAGATAAAAACACAGAGTGAGAAGAATTAGCTCTACAGCGATATTAAAACCATTGTTTAACTACTTCCTTCCATCAAATAATAATAATCCCTCCTTAAAATCCCATTTTTCCCTGCCAATGGTTGTCCCAAACTCTCACCAAGGATAAATAAAATATTAGCATACTCTTCCGTTGATGAGTAATATTGCAACAGATGACATCAAAATTGAACACTATCTCTACTATAATAATGCTATCAACAAAACCTAAATTAAAAAATGTGTTCCTGGTTTGAAAGTGTTGTTTCCTGTTTAACTGTGTAATGCTACCCCTCTATTCTACCTTGATAGTAGACCACACCTGGAATATTGTGTCCAATTCTGGGCACCACAATTCAAGCGAGATATTGACAAGCTGGAATGTGTCCAGAGGAGGGCGACTAAAATGATCAAGGGTCTGGAGAACAAGCCCTATGAGGAGTGGCTTACGGAGATGGGCATGTTTAGCCTGAAGAAGAGAAGGCTGAGAGGAGATATGATAGCCATGTATAAATATGTGAGAGGAAGCCACAGGGAGGAGGGAGCAAGCTTGTTTCCTGCTTCCCTGGAGACTAGGACGCGGAACAATGGCTTCAAACTACAAGAGAGGAGATTCCATCTGAACATGAGGAAGAACTTCCTGACTGTGAGAGCCGTTCAGCAGTGGAACTCTCTGCCCCGGAGTGTGGTGGAGGCTCCTTCTTTGGAAGCTTTTAAACAGAGGCTGGATGGCCATCTGTCAGGGGTGATTTGAATGCAATATTCCTGCTTCTTGGCAGGGGGTTGGACTGGATGGCCCATGAGGTCTCTTCCAACTCTTTGATTCTATGAATCTATGATTCTTCAGAAACTTCATATAATATTTACCATATATACTCGAGTATAAGCCGACCCAAATATAAGCCAAGGCACCTAATTTTACCACAAAAAAACTGAGAAAATGGATTGACTCGAGTATAAGCCGAGGGTGGGAAATGCAGCAGCTACTGGTAAATTGCAAAATAAAAATAGATACCAATTAAATTACATTAATTGAGGAATCAGTAGGTTATATATTTTTGAATATTTACAAAAATGTAATTTAAGATAAGACTGTCCAACTCTGATTAAATGATTATTTACCTTCTTCAATGTAAATGTGCTTACGTATCCTTCCAATAATAATAAAGAGAGTAACATAATAAATGTAATAACAAAACAATAATAAAAAGAGTAAAATAATGAATGTAGCAATAACAACAATTATACAGTAAAATAATAAATGTATAATAATAGAGTAAAATGATAAATGTAATAATAATAAATAGAATAAAATAATAAATGAAATGATAATAATAATAATAATAACAGAGTAATATAATAAATAACCTTGACTTGAGTATAACCGAGGGGAACTTTTTCAGCCTAAAAAAGAGCTAAAAAACTAGGCTTATACTCAAGTATATACAGTATGTTGAATTAGTTGAGATTCAATCAGATATTCCTTGAAAATCTAGAGCAAAACATGCTGCAGGATGTCTGTCGTGCCCCATGAGGACCCTCACAGTTTACCCCTAGTTAAGCCCTTTTTAGTTGGGTTGTTGTAGGTTTTTCCGGGCTATATGGCCATGTTCTGGAGGCATTTTCTCCTGATGTTTCGCCTGCATCTATGGCAAGCATCCTCAGAGGTAGTGAGGTCTGTTGGAAGTAGGAAAATGGGTTTATATATCTGTGGAATGACCAGGGTGGGACAAAGGACTTTTGTCTGCTGGAGCTAGGTGTGAATGTTTCAACTGACCACCTTGATTAGCATTTAATGGCTTGGAAGTGCCTGGGAGGAATCTTGACCTCTGGAGTAGAGCCTCAGGCAAGGCACTTCTGGTTCTTGAAAGAGTCAGCCTTTTTGTGACTGAAAGGTGATGAGAGAAAGGCTGGAAGGCCAACAAATAGCACGTCCCGTCAGAACTGTATGAGTTGTATTCAAGTCCTGTCAGAGTTAAATATTGAGACCATCTTAGAGACAGCTGAACACCATACAAGAAAGAGACAATAATAATAAATAAAGATTCAAGAGCCTCAGTTCGGCCAGAGCTGTGTCTGTCTCTCAAAGACTTTATTGTAATGTTATTTTGTTATTGTATTTTTTTCATGTAATTTTGATGATGTTGTTTATGTTTTGGTTTTATTTTGATATAATATGTTGTTTGGGCTTGGCCCCATGTAAGTTGCTCTGAGTCCCCATCGGGAAGATGGTGGCGGGGTATAAATAAAGTCTATTATTATTATTATTATTATTATTATTATTATTATTATTATTATTAACCTCTCCTCACAAAGACTTTGTAGTGAGACTGAGGAGGACAGACGGTATACAACTCTTGTCAGTTAATAAATTCTTGTTTTGATTCAACTATATAGTCTCCGATCTGTTCCCTGTGCAGCCAGTTAAACTTCCAAGTAAAGATAGTGTGGGGGCAGAACAATGTCCCACCCGCAAATACAAAGTTTTGCAGTTTGATAAACTTTTTTTAACTTTTTTTTTAAAAAAAAACTGGAAAATAGAGGGAGAAAATGTGGAGGCCGTGACAGACTTTGTATTTCTAGGTGCAAAGATGACTGCAGATGCAGACTGTGGCCAGGAAATCAGAAGATGTTTACTTCTTGGGAGGAGAGCAAGGACCCATCTCGATAAAATAGTGAGGAGTAGAGACATCCCATTGGCAACAAAGATCCACATAGTCAAAGCAATAGTATTCCCTGTAGTCACCTATGGATGTGAGAGCTCGACCATAAGGAAGGCTGAGTGAAGGAAGATAGATGCTTTTGAACTGTGGTGTTGGAGGAAAGTTCTGAGAGTGCCTTGGACTGCGAGAAGATCCAACCAGTCCATCCTCCAGGAAATAAAGCCCGACTGCTCATTAGAGGGAAGGATACTAGAGACAAAGTTGAAGTACTTTGGCCACATCATGAGGAGACAGCAAAGCCTAGAGAAGACAATTATGCTGGGGAAAGTGGAAGGTAAAAGGAAGAGGGGCCGACCAAGGGCAAGATGGATGGATGGCATCCTTGAAGTGACTGGTCTGACCTTGAAGGAGCTGGGGGTGGTGACGGCTGACAGGGAGCTCTGGCATGGGCTGGTCCATGAGGTCACGAAGAGTCGGAGACGACTGAACGAATGAACAACAACAACAATTTTTACTTTTAGAAGGCAGATTAGAATTAATATTACATGTAATATAAGGTAACCGGGGATGAGGAAGGATTTCATCCTGAATATAAAGAAATGTTTATTATTTTAGTAAATTCATATTTTCATATTTTAATAATAAATAAAAATAATAAACCTTTATTTGTACCCCGCTACCATCTCCCGAAGGACTCGGTGCGGCTTACAAGAGGCCGAGACCCAATACAACAATAAACAAGACAACAACAATACAGCAGTAAATAAAACTCAAGCAATAACATTAACAATAACAACACAACACAATTAAAAACCAAGTGTCAGGTCAGTTTTTGTGGGTTTTTTCGGGCTATATGGCCATGTTCTAGAAGCATTCTAGAATGCTTCTAGAACATGGCCATATAGCCCGAAAAAACCCACAAGAACTGAGTGATTCCAGCCATGAAAGCCTTCGACAATACAAGTGTCAGATGTTGTTGGACTGTAGCTCACACACATAAACTTTATTAAAAGGTAAGAACCGAGACATAAAATTATTATTATTTGACACACAACAAGATGAGTACACAGCAAACAAGATCACTCTGCTGGCTTTTGTATTTGATCACACATCCGACACTTCCCAAGTGTCTAGGACTGTGAGATGTATGGGCGAATAATGCGTAAAGAGCCAAGCAGGGTGGACTTTTGTAGTTGACAGATAATTTTGTCAGCGCTGGTTGTTTTTAAGTGCAGGCCAAGGTCTTTAGGCACTGCACTTTTTATTATTATTATCATTGCTGCAGCATCTCATGAAGCACTATGTATATTTGTCATACATACATGCATCATCCTCATCTGTGATATGGTAATTATGATTAACTGACAATACGATTTTGTAATTACAGTATTTTGTAATTACAGGCAGAGAGTAGTAGTGAAGTTGCAACCAGCTTATCATCTCATTATTTTATTATCTACCATAAATGGGCTATGAAGTAATCAACTGCTTCAAAGAGCTGCTACTGACTGCTGTTTTAGTCACTTTCACTATCTACTGATTTCAATTATTTTAATGTATACATTTATATTCTTCTTCTGTTTTAACTTTTCTGTTGTGGTGAACCTCTCTTTTGGACTGACACAAAAGCACAGTATGTCACAGCAAACGAGATCTATATGCTGGATTTCGTATTATTATTATTATTATTATTATTATTATTATTATTATTATTATTGCTTTTTTGGTTTTTTAAGTTCCTTCCACTGTGTTTCTCAGTGTTTTTATGAGTGATGATCACTCATTGGCCTGATAGGTGTATAGTGTCCAAATGTGGTGTCAATTCATCAAGTGGTTTTTGAGTTATATTAATCCCACAAACTAACATTACATTTTTATTTATATACTAGCTGTATCCATCACGCGTTGCTGTGGCCAACCTTTCCTCCATCTTTCTCCCCTTCTTTTCTTCCTTTCTTCACTCCCTCTTCCCTTCCTTCCTTCCCTTTTCTTCTTTTCTTCTCTTTCTTCCTTCTCTACCTCTTTTCTCCTTCACTTTTTGCTTCCATCCTTCCCTCTTTTCTCTCCTTCTTCCTCCTTCCTTTCTCCCTTTCCTTCTCCTTTTTCCTTCTCTCCTTCCTTCCTTCTTTATCTCTTTCCTTCCTTTCCTTTTTTTCTCTTTCCTTCCTTCCTTCTCTTCTTTCTTCCTCTTCCTTCCCTTTTCTTTTCTTCCTTCCCTTTCTTCCTTTTTTCTTTCTTTTTCCTTTCTACCTCTTTCCTTCTTTCCTTCATCCCTTCCTTCCCTTCTTCTTTCTTTCCTTCTTCTTCTTTCTCTACCCATTTCTTTCCATTCCTCTTCTTTTCCTCTTTCTCTCCTTTCTTTTCCTACTTCTTTCTCTCCTTCCTTCCTTCGCTCTTTGCTTCCATGCTTCCTTCTCTCTTTTCTTCTTTCTTGCCCTCCCACTTTCTCCTTTTCTTTCTACCTTTCTTCCTCTTTCTCTCCTTCCTTCACTCTTTCCTTCTTTCTTTCCCTCCCTCCTTCTCTCTTTCTCTTTCTTTTTTTCTCCCCTTCCTCCCTTCTCTCCCTCTTCCTTCCCTTTTTCATCATTTAGCTTTTTGTCATTTAGCTTTAAAGTCCTTTCTGCTGTTTTTTTGAGGGGATTTTAGGAGTGATGGTCACTTGTTGGTCTGTTAGGGGTATAGTGTCCAAATTTCATGTCAATTCGTCCAGTGGTTTTTGAGTTCTGTTAAACCCACAAACTAACATTACATTTTTATTTCTATAGATATAAAACCAATGTGCTTTTCATTCTGAGGTATTTTGTTTGTTTGTTTTTTGCTGGGAGGAGGGGAAATTTCAATAGAAATTAACATTTGCAAAAAGAGCTGTGCAGCAAATGGAAGAAGCAAGCCAATGTTTTTCACTTACGAGGAGCCACACGCAAGACCTGGGAGCTGAATCGCCTCCAGACGTTGAGAATCCCTTTTGAGAAGTAGTTGGGGAAAGCCCTCTGCTCAAAGGGAGACAAGCTGTAAGTGATCACGTGCCGCATCCGTTCCAGGTTCCCAAAATGGCCACCCATCTTGGCAGGTTACTCTGAAAAAAGTAAAAAAAGGAATGAGCAAAACAGTTGAACTGGCAAACCCTAGAGAATGAGTGACAGGCAAGATAAGCCTGGCACGGATATCCCTGTAGAACGGGCACTGAAGGAGCACATGTTCTATTGTTTCTACATGACCCAAGTCACAAGGGCAGAGTCACTCATTAACAGAACTCAAAAACCACTGGAAGAATTGACACCAAATTTGGACACAAGACAGCTAACAACCCAATGTATGTCCTTCACTCAAAAAATTGATTTTGTCTTTTGGGAGTTGTAGTTGCTGGGATTTATACTTCACTTACAATCAAAGAGCATTCTCAAGGCTGAGAGGAGACATAATAGCCATGTCTAAATATGTGAGAGGAAGCCACAGGGAGGAGGGAGCAAGCTTGTTTGCTGATGCCCTGGAGACTAGGACGCAATGGAACAATGGCTTCAAACTACAAGAAAGGAGATTCCATCTGAACATTAGGAAGAACTTCCTGAGTGTGAGAACTGTTCAGCAGTGGAACTCTCTGTTCCAGAGTGTGGTGGAGGCTCCTTCTTTGGAAGCTTTTAAACAGAGGCTGGATGGCCATCTGTCAGGGGTGCTTTGAATGCAATTTTCCTGCTTCTTGGCAGGGGGTTGGACTGGATGGCCCATGAGGTCTCTTCCAACTCTATGATTCTATGATAGATACATAGAACCTGTGGCCTGGTTCCTGCCCAACACAGACCCGGGGGGAACAGATTATCCCCACATCCCCTTCTATTAGATTAGAATAATAGAATCCTAGAGTTGGAAGAGACCTCCTGGGTCATCCATTCCAACCTCATTCTGGCGAGAAGCAGGAAAATCGCATTCAAAGCACCCCCAACAGATGGCCACCCAGCCTCTGCTTAAAAGTCTCCAGGGCAGCAGAAAACAAGCTTGCTCCCTCCTCCCTGTGGCTTCCTCTCACATAATTATACATGGCTATCATATCCCCTCTCAGCCTTCTCTTCTTCAGGCTAAACATGCCCAGCTCCTTAAGCCGCTCCTCATAGGGCTTGTTCTCCAGAAGCAGGAATATTGCATTCAAATCACCCCTGACAGATGGCATCCAGCCTCTGTTTAAAAGCTTCCAAAGAAGGAGCCTCCACCACACTCCGGGGCAGAGAGTTCCACTGCTGAACGGCTCTCACAGTCAGGAAGTTCTTCCTCATGTTCAGATGGAATCTCCTTTCTTGTAGTTTGAAGCCATTGTTCCACGTCCTAGTCTCCAGGGAAGCAGAAAACAAGCCCTCCCTGTGGCTTCCTCTCACATATTTATACATGGCTATCATATCTCCTCTCAGCCTTCTCTTCTTCAGGCTAAACATGACAAGCTCCTTAAGCCGCTCCTCATAGGGCTTGTTCTCCAGACCCTTGATCATTTTAGTCGCCCTCCTCTGGACACATTCCAGCTTGTCAATATCTCTCTTGAATTGTGGTGCCCAGAATTGGACACAGTATTCCAGGTGTGGTCTAACCAAGGCAGAATAGAGCATGGGTAGCATGACTTCCCTGGATCTAGACACTAGACTCCTATTGATGCAGGCCAAAATCCCATTGGCTTTGAGTCTCCCCCATAGTTCCTATGTCTCTGCATGGAATCATAGAATCCTAGAATCAAAGAGTTGGAAGAGACCTCCTGGGCCATCCAGTCCAACCCCATTCTGCCAAGAAGCAGGAATATTGCATTCAAATCACCCCTGACAAATGGCCATCCAGCCTCTGTTTAAAAGCTTCCAAAGAAGGAGCTTCCACCACACTCCGGGGCAGAGAGTTCCACTGCTGAACGGCTCTCTCAGTCAGGAAGTTCTTCCTAGTCGCCCTCCTCTTACCAGCCTTACCAACAGCAGCATGTAAAAGGTCTATAGGAACAGATATTAAGGAACTACAGCTCTCATGATGGATGGGAGTTGTAGTCCAACACCATCGCGGTTTACCCACCCGCCCAGCGTCCTCCAAAAAAAGGTCAGGACTTCTCTCTCCAGACAACAGGAAGAAAACGGAAATGGTTTCCTTTTTCCTAGGCAGTGAGGTCACTTCCGGCAGAACGGATGGCCATAGAGTCTCAACCGCTGTAGTGGAGCCCTTATGGTTTGGCCTTGCCCACACTAGCAATGGCGTCTCCTGCGCGCGGAAGGGTAAAAGGGAGCATGCGCAGAAGTGACGTCCAGCCGTAAAAGCAAGATGGCGGCGCTGAGGTGCCTAGGAAGGCTGCGGACACCTTCAGGGTCATGGCTGCAAGGGATGGCGCTGGGGGCGGCGCCCAGCAGGTATGGTCAGGCTCCCAGTCTTGCTGCAACCTCTTCTCTATGGAGGTGCTGTGTGGGCTCGAGAATCCTCTCCCAATAGGGCTTAATCTAGAGTTGGAAGGGATCTCCAAAGGCCATCCAGTCTGACCCCCTTCTGCCAGGCTGGAAGGCACAATCCAAGCACTCCCGACAGAGGGCCAGCCAGCCTCTGCTTAAAACCTTTAGAGAAGGAGACTCTATTATCACCTCCACCATCATCAAAGATGACTATATAAAATGACACTGTATAGATGTGTATTTATATATAACAAGAAAGGAGATTCCATCTGAACATTAGGAAGAACTTCCTGACTGTGCTCTCACAGTCAGGAAGTTCTTCCTAATGTTCAGGTGGAATCTCCTTTCTTGTTATATATACATATATATATATACCTTGGGAAGTCTGATCTGGCCACTGTGGTCCACGCTCTTGTCACATCCCAAATAGACTACTGCAACGCGCTCTACGTGGGGTTGCCCTTGAAGACTGTTCGGAAACTTCAATTAGTCCAACGAGCGGCAGCCAGATTGCTCACCGGAGCGACATACAGGGAGCATACCACCCCCCTGTTATGTCAGCTCCACTGGCTGCCGGTTCAATTCCGAGCACAATTCAAGGTGCTGGTTTTGACCTACAAAACCCTGTACGGTTCCGGTCCAGTGTATCTGTCCGAACGTATCTCCCTTTACGTCCCACCTCTTGAGATCATCTGGGGAGGCCCTGCTCTCGACCCCACCACTGTCACAAGTGAGGCTGGTGGGGACGAGAAGCAGGGCCTTCTCAGTGGTGGCCCCTCACCTGTGGAACTCACTCCCGGGGGAAATCAGAGCATCACCATCCCTCCTCTCCTTCAGGAGGAGGGTGAAGACGTGGTTATGGGACCAGGCCTTTGGGCAATCTGGCAATTAAATAAGACAATCAGGTGAATAAGACCAACAGGATTGATGAAGTGGAACGGAAAACTAGAACTATGAGTTAGCGATCGCTGACCATGTAAGAGAGGAATTGGGTTTGTATTGGTTTTATTGATTTTATTGATATAATGCATGAACTAGTGTGAATTGTGAATTGATGTAATTTTGTGTCTTGATTGTTCTGTGCTGCAGGCATCAAATTGTGCCTTGCTTTTGTAAGCCGCCCTGAGTCCCCTTCGGGGTGAGAAGGGCGGGGTAAAAGAACCCCAAATAAATAAATAAATAAATACACACATATCTATACATTCCAAAGAAGGAGTCTCCTCAACATTAGGAAGAACTTCCCAACTGTGAGAGCTGTTCAGCAGTGGAACTCTCTGCCCCGAAGTGTGGTGGAGGCTCTTTCTTGGGAGGCTTTTAAACAGAGACTGGATGGCCATCTGTCAGGGGTGCATTTAATGCGATTTTCCTGCTTCTTGGCAGGGGGTTGGACTAGATGACCCACGAGGTCTGTGAGAGCCCTTCAGCAGTGGAACTCTCTGCCCCAGAGTGTGGTGGAGGCTCCTTCTTTGGAAGCTTTTAAACAGAGGCTGGATGGCCATCTGTTGGGGGTGCTTTGAATGCAATTTTCCTGCTTCTTGGCAGGGGGTTGGACTGGATGGCCCATGAAGTCTCTTCCAACTCAATGGTTCTATGATTCTATGCACATAACCACATTGTTCCACTGACACTAAGTCCAGTTGTGTCCAACTCTGGGGGTTGGTGCTCATCTCCATTTCTAAGCCAAAGAGCCAGCATTGTCCATAGACACCTCCATGGCCAGCATGACTGCATGGAGCACCATTACTTTCCCACCAGAGAGGTACCTATTGATCTACTCACATTTGCATGTTTTCAAATAGCTAGGGGCTCCACTTGGCAGAAAAATGAAATGCAAAGATACAGAATGGAGGACAATGCCTGACTCGAGAGCAGTATGTGTGAAAAAGATCTTGGGGTCCTCGTGAACAACAAGTTAAACATGAGCCGAAGGGGACTCAGGGCTGTTCACAGAATACGTATACGGCAAACATTCAATGCCATTAAACAGACAAGACAGAGGAGAGCGACTAAAATGATCAAGGGTCTGGAGAACAAGTCCTATGAGGAGCGGCTTAAAGAGCTGGGCATATTTAGAAGAGAAGACTGAGAGGAGATATGATAGCCATGTATAAATATGTGAGAGGAAGTCATAGGGAAGAGGGAGCAAGCTTGTTTTCTGCTTCCTGGAGTCTAGGACGCAATGGAGCAATGGCTTCAAACTACAAGAAAGGAGATTCCATCTGAACATTAGGAAGAACTTTCTTGTGGGTTTTTTCAGGTATATGGCCATGTTCTAGAGGCATTTTCTCCTGACGTTTCGCCTGCATCTATGGCAAGCATCCTCAGAGGTAGTGAGGTCTGTTGGAGTTAGGAAAATGGGTTTATATATCTGTGGAATGACTGGGGTGGGGCAAAGAGCTCTTCTCTGCTGGAGCTAGGTGTGAATGTTTCAACTGACCACCTTCATTAGCATTTGAAGGCCTGGCTGAGCCTGGGAAAATCTTTTGTTGAGAGGTGTTAAGCTGTGCCTGGTTGTTTCCTCTCTGCTGTTTTGCTGTTGTAATTTTAGAGTTTTTTAATACTGGTAGCCAGATTTTGTTCATTTTCATGGTCTCTTCCTTTCTGTTGAAATTGTCCACATGCTTGTGGATTTCAATGGCTTCTCTGTGTAATCTGACATGGTGGTTGGTGTGGTCCAGCATTTCTGTGTTCTCAAATAATATGCTGTGTCCAGGTTGTTCATCAGGTGCTCTGCTATGGCTGACTTCTCTGGTTGAAGTAGTCTGCAGTGCCTTTCATGTTCCTTGATTCGTGTTTGGGCAATGCTGCGTTTGGTGGTCCCTATGTAGACTTGTCCACAGCTGCATGGAATACGATAGACTCCTGCAGAGATGAGAGGATCCCTCTTGTCCTTTGCTGAACGTAGCATTTGTTGGATTTTCTTGGTGGGTTTGTAGATTGTTTGTATGTTGTGTTTCCTCATCAGCTTCCCTATGCGGTCAGTGGTTCCCTTGATGTATGGCAGGAACACTTTTCCTGGCTTCAAATACAAGAAAGTACTAATCAGGACTGAATGAGGAAGAACTTCCTGACTGTGAGAGCCATTCAGCAGTGGAACTCTCTGCCCCGGAGTGTGGTGGAGGCTCCTTCTTTGGAAGCTTTTAAACAGGGGCAGGATGGCCATCTGTCAGGGGTGATTTGAATGCAATATTCCTGCTTCTTGGCAGGGGGTTGGACTGGATGGCCCGTGAGGTCTCTTCCAACTCCATGATTCTAATGGTTAGCTGGAATCTCTTTTCCTGCCATTTGAATCCATTGCTTCGTGTCTTTGTCTCTGGAGCAGCAGAAAACAAACTTTCCCCCTACTCTTTATAACATCATTTCAGACTGGTTACTGTGAGTTTTCCAGGCTCTCTGGCCATGTTCCAGAAGCATTATCTTGTGACTTTTTGCTCGCATCTATGGCAGGCATCCTCAGAGGTTGAGGTGTCTGTTGGAAACTAGGCAAGTGGGGTTTATATATCTGTGGAATAATGTCCAGGGTGGGAGGCAGAAGTCTTGTCTGCTTGAGGCAAGTGTGAATGTTGCTCCTGTGAGAATGTTGCTTGGTCATTCGCTCCTCACTGGACTTTCTTTTCTTCAGAGGAAAGCAGTGGCAACCAGACGTGGAGTATGCCAAACAATACGGAGGAGCGGTCATGTATCCCAGCAAAGACACAGAGAAATGGGTTCCTCCTCCCTGGAATGGTGAGTTAGTTTTGGAATCAATCCTGAAATTGTCACTATATAAAGGCTGGATATGGAGATATGGATATGGATACGGCACTCCATGCAGTCATGCTGGCCACATGACCTTGGCAGTGTCTATGGACAACGCCGGCTCTTCGGCTTAGAAATGGAGATGAGCATCACACCCCAGATTCAGACATGACTGGACTTAGTGTCAGGGGACAACCTTTACCTTTTTATGGAGATTGTATTGGTTAGCTGAGCCAAGGCTCTTCTGTTCCATTTTGCAAAATACTGTAGTATAGTGTTTCTCAACCTGGGGGGTGGTCACAAGGTGGTGTCAGAGGGGTTGCCAAAGACCATCAGACAACACAATATTTATTGGTCATGGGGTTCTGTGTGGGAAAATTGGCTCCTATCATTGGTGGGGTTCAGAATGCTCTTTGATTATAGGTGAACTATAAATCCCAGCAACTACAGCTCCCAAATGTCAAGGTCTATTTTCCACAAACTCCACCAGTGTTCACATTTGGGGCATATTGAGTATGCATGCCAAGTTTGGTCCAGAGCCATCATTGTTTGAGAACACAGTATTCTCTGGATGTAGGTGAACTACAACTCCAAAACTCAAGGTCAATGCCCACCAAACCTTTCCAGTATTTTCTGTTGGTCGTGGGAGTTCTGTGTGCCAAGCTTGGTTCAATTCCATTTGTGGTGGAGTTCAGAATGCTCTTTGAGTGTAGGTGAACTATAAATCCCAGCAACTACAGCTGCCAAATATAAAGGTCTATTTTCCCCAAATAAGCAAGGTCAGCATCTCAGTGGTTTAGCCCATTGTGCCACTGTGGTATCTACACTGGGTATCTACACTGTGGAAACAATGCAGTTTGTTACCCCTTTAACTGTCATATCTCAGTACTATGGAATTATGAAGTTGTAGCTTTCTCAAGGTCCTCAGCTTTCTCTGCCAAAGAGAGATGGCTCATCAAACTACAACTCCTTTAGCATTGAGTCTCTTCAATTGCGGAGCCCAGAATTGGAGCACAAGTGGGAGTTGTAATCTACTTAAATAAAAATGTAATGTTTGTTTGTGGGATTAACAGAACTCAAAAACCACTGGACGAATTGACACGAAATTTGGACACAAGACACCTAACAGTCCAACAAATGTCCATCACCCATAAACACACACACACACAAAACCCCAGCGTAACAGACTTCAAAACCCAAAAAATGCACCATATATACATACACACATACAATCATATACACACATGTATATATATGCACAAACACACACGCAGACACATATACATATCCACATACATACATATATACACACAAAAATGCATATAGACAAGCACATACATATACACAATATGCATGTATACATAAAAACACACAAATTTATACACATATATATATATACACACACACATATACACAATATAGCTGTACACATATAAACACAAATACATACACATATATATACACCCCACACACACACACACATATATATAAAAGCAAACACATATATGTACACAAATATATACACACATATACACAATATGCATGTACATATAAACACAAAAATACACAAATATATACACCATATATACATACACTCATAAACATATGCACATATTCATACACACACATGTATATATATGCACAAACACTCCTTAGGCGATCCCTCGTTGGACGAGTAAGATGGTCTTCCATGATGGATTTCCTTGTGGGTCCGTATGTGGCTGTGGAGCCCTATTCTTGATCTGCATCTTCTCCCGCAGTGAGGGCATTGGTTTCCAGGTGGAAGGCAGTTCCGGTCGGAGTTGGCTTGACATGCCTTCCTCTTGGCACGTTTCTCTCTTTCACCTTCCATTCGTGCCTCTTCAAATTCTGCAGCACTGCTGGTCACAGCTGACCTCCAGCTGGAGCGGTCAAGGGCCAGGGCTTCCCAGTTCTCAGTGTCTATGCCAGAGTTTTTAAGGTTGGCTTTGAGCCCATCTTTAAATCTCTTTTCCTGTCCACCAACGTTCCGTTTTCCGTTCTTAAGTTCGGAGTAGAGCAACTGCTTTGGGAGACGGTGGTCAGGCATCCGGACAACGTGGCCGGTCCAGCGGAGTTGATGTTGGAGGACCATCGCTTCAATGCTGGTGGTCTTTGCTTCTTCCAGCACACTGACGTTTGTCCGCTTGTCTTCCCAGGAGATTTGCAGGATTTTCCGGAGGCAGCGCTGATGGAAACGTTCCAGGAGCTGCATGTGACGTCTGTAGACAGTCCACGTCTCACAGGCATATAGCAGGGTTGGGAGGACAATAGCTTTATAAACAAGCACCTTGGTCTCCCTACGGATGTCCCGGTCCTCAAACACTCTCTGCTTCATAACACTCTCTGCACAAACACACACATATACACACATACATAAACATACATACACATATATATACATGCATCCCACATATACATATCCACATACATACATATATACACACAAAAATGCATATAGACAAGCACATAAAAAGGTAAAGGTAGTCCCCTGACATTAAGTCCAGTCATGTCTGACTCTGGGGTGTGGTGCTCATCTCCATTTCTAAGCCGAAGAGCCAGCGTTGTCCATAGACACCTCCAAGGTCATGTGGCCGGCATGACTGCATGGAGCGCCGTTACCTTCCCGCCAGAGCGGTACCTATTGATCTACTCACATTTGCATGTTTTTGAACTGCTAGGTTGGCAGAAGCTAGGGCTGACAGCGGAAGCTCACGCCGCTCCCCGGAATCGAACCTGCGACCTTTCGATCAACAAGCTCAGCAACTCAGTGCTTTAACCCACTGCGCCACCGGGGGCTCCACACACACACACACACACAAACATACACACACACACACAAATACGCAAATCTATACACACACATATATATACACATATACACAATATGCCTGTACACATATAAACACAAATATGTACACACACACACATATATATATACACCCACATATATATATAAGCAAACACACATATATGCACAAATATGTACACACACACACATATATATATATATACACACACACATATACACAATATGCCTGTACACATATAAACACAAATACACACACACACATATATATAAGCAAACACACACATATACACAAATATATACACACATATACACAGTATGCATCTACACATATAAACACACAAATGCACAAATATATACACACATATATATATATACAAATACACATATATACACAGATATATACACACACATACACACAAAACACATATACACAGACTGGGCCACAGCAACGCGTGGCAGAGGATGGCTAGTCTAAAATATAGAGAAAACTGCCCTGACAAATTGGACTAGGACGACCTGAACTTTGGGTCAGCTAGTTTTGTTATCTGGGATTTTCTTAATTTGTTAATATTTACATGCAAGGTTTTGTACCCCTAAGGCCAGCAGGGGATCCTTAGTGTTTAAATCCAGAATCATAACTTTCCCAGATTCTCTTTTCCCTGCGTTCCTTTCAAGCAGCTTGACTCGCCTTTTCTCTTCTGCCCCAAACAGACAAAGACCCTCCCTTGGAGAAGCCAGTGTCCAACCTGACCATCAATTTTGGGCCGCAGCATCCTGCTGCGCATGGCGTCTTGCGCTTGGTGATGGAGCTCAGCGGGGAGAGTGTGAAGAAGTGCGACCCTCACATCGGCTTGCTTCATCGGGGCACAGAGAAACTGATAGAGTATAAGACCTATCTCCAGGTAACATTGCTGGGTGGTTTTGTGAAGTAAATAATAATAATAATAATATTTATTTATTTATCGTGTCAGGAGCAAGCCAAACAGTTGTATTGCATTTTTTAACAAACAAAACACAAAGTTTGCAAGCTTGGTAATTGATTAAATGTCCTTTGACCAGTAGCTGACCACTTGGAGTGCCTCTGGTGTTACTATAAGAAGGCCCTCCATTGTGCATGTGGCAGGGCTCGGGTTGCATTGCAGCAAGTGGTCAGTGGTTCGCTCTTCTCCACACTCGCATGTCGTGGACTCCACTTTGTGGCCCCATTTCTCAAGGTTGGCTCTGCATCTCGTGGTGCCAGAGCACAGTCTGTTCAGCACCTTCCAAGTCACCCAGTTTTCTGTGTGCCCAGGGGGGAGTCTCTCATTTGGTATCAGCCACTGGTACTCAATTACTCATTTGGTATCAGCCATTGGTACTCCAAGTACTCAATTATACTCTGAACTCAATTATAGAGTACTCATATGTTGTATGTATTTTGCTGTGTTGTTATTGTGTTTATACATTTGTACATGGCTATCGTGTCTCCTCTCATCCTTCTCTTCTTCAGGCTAAACATGGCCAGCTCTTTAAGCCGCTCCTCCTAGGGCTTGTTCCCCAGACCCTTGATCATTTTACTCACCCTCCTCTGTCCTGTCTGTTTAATGGCATTAAATGATTGCCGTATATGTGTTCTGTGATCCGCCCTGAGTCCCCTTCGGGATGAGAAGGGCGGAATATACTGGTTGATGGTCCAGATCCATCAAGCCGTGTAGAAGCATTTGAGGGACTAATCAACCTACCAACATACATACATAGATATATACTTTGATTTTTATAAAGTTACTAGCCATCCCCTACCACGCATTGCCGTGGCCCAGTCTGGTGATCTGGAAAATAAAGTAATCAGAAAGTGTTGGTTTCTAATCTATGTAATGTCTTTATGCTTGTGTGTAAACAGTATTTCTTGTTGTTTCTTTGTCAATGTTGATGTGGAGATTGTCTGGTTTGCCTACTCTGGAAGATACAACATATAATTGTCCACCTTTCAGGGTCCCTTTCAAATCAAGGATACTATATTTCTGTGTGTGTCAATCATATCTATCTATATCTTATGGCTAAATGTCACTTTGTCAGGAGGGCTTTGATTATGTTTTCTTGCCCTGGTGAAGGGAGTTGGACTGGATGGCCTTAAGTATTTTCTGTTCGTCAAGGTGGTTCTGTGTGGGAGGTTTGCTCCAATTCTGTCGTTGGGATTCACAATGCTCTTTGATTGTAGGTGAACTATAAATCCCAGTAACTACAACTCCCAAATGGCAAGATCTATTTTCCCCAAACTCCATCTATATTCATATTTGGGCATATGGAATATTTGTGCCAAGTTTGGTTCAGATCCACCATTGTTTGAGTCCACAGTGCTCTCTGGATGTGGGTGAACTACAACTCCCAAACTCAAGGTCAATGCCCACCAAACCGTTCCAGTATTTTCTGTTGGTCATTGGAGTTCTGTGTGCCAAGTTTGGTTCAATTCCATTGTTGGTGGAGTTCAGGATGCTCTTTGATTGTAGGTGAACTATAAATCCCAGTAACTACAACTCCCAAGTGACAAAATCATTTTTTTGAGTGATGGTCACTTCTTGGGTTAGTAGGTGTCTTGTGGCCAAATTTGGCAGCAATTCGTCCAGTGGTTTTTGAGTTCTGTTAATCCAACAAACGAAAATTACATTTTTATTTATATAGTGTTTTGTTATTTTATTAAATCATAAAACGTTGTACCACTTGCAGATGATTTTTGGTCATGTTTTCCTCTCTATTAAACTAACCTTTTCTGCTTTAGGCTCTGCCGTATTTTGACCGGCTGGATTATGTCTCCATGATGTGTAATGAACAGGCCTATTCCTTAGCAGTGGAGAAGCTGCTCAATATCCGTCCGCCCCTGAGAGCTCAATGGATCCGAGGTGGGTGAACAAGTTGTCATCACTGAAGAAGCTGAGACTCACTAATACATATATCTCAATATCTCAGTCTGTCTTGGCCACGGTAGTCCACGCTCTGGTTACATCCCGTGTAGACTACTGCAACGCTCTCTACATGGGGCTGCCTTTGAAGACTGTTCGGTAGCTTCACTTGGTCCAACAGACAGCAACCAGGTTGTTAACAGGAGCGGCACTCGGGGAGCGCACAACTCCTCTGTTGCGCCAGCTCCACTGGCTGCCAGTTTGCTACTGGCCACAATTCAAAGTGCTGGCTTTAGCCTTTAAAGCCCTAAACCAGTGTTTCACAACCTGGGGGTCGGGACCCCTGAGTGGTTTGTGAGGGGGTGTCAGAGGGGTTGCCAAAGACCATCAGAAAACACAGCATTTTGTGATGGTCATGGGGATTCCATGTGGGAAGTTTGAGCCAATTCTATCATTGGTGGAGTTCAAAATGTTCTTTGATTGTAGTGAACTATAAATCCCAGCAACTATAACTCCCAAAAGTCAAGGTCTATTTTCCCCAGACTCCACCAGTGTTCACATTTGGGCATATTGAGTATTTGTGCCAAGTTTGGTGCAGATCCATCATTGCGTGAGTCCACAGTGCTCTTTGGCTATAGGTAAACTACAATTCCCAAACTCAAGGTCAATGTCCACTAAACCCTTCCAGTGTTTTCCGTTGGTCATGGGAGTTCTGTGTGCAAAATCAGGTTCAAATCCATCATTCAGAATGCTCTTTGATTATAGGTGAACTATAAATCCCACCTACAACTCCCAAATTACAAAATCAATCCTCCCCCAGCCCCACTAGCATTCACATTTGGGCGTATTGGGTATTTATACATCCTGCATATCAGATATTTCCATTATGATTTATAACAGTAATAAAATGACTGTTATGAAGTAGCAACGAAAACAATGTTATGGTTGGGGGTCACCATAACATGGGGGACTGTGTTAAGGGGTTACGGGATTAGGAAGGTTGAGAACCACTGCCCTAAATGGTTCTGGCCCAATTTACCTATCCGAACGCATCTCTTCCTATGAACCATCTAGGTGTTTAAGATCATCTGGAGAGGCCCTGCTCTCGGTCCCGCCTTCTTCGCAGATCCGAATGGTGGGAACGAGAGACAGGGCCTTCTCAGCGGTGGTTCCCCTGGCTATAGAACACCCTCCCTAGGGACATTAGATTGGCCCCTTCCCTCCTGACATTTTGAAAGGGAGTTACGACCCGGCTGTTCAAGCAGGCATTTGCAGACGCAGCCTAACTCATGGAACGACAGGACGATGCGATGGAAAATGATTTTAATGATGAGACGCTGAGAACTGTAGTTTATAATTTTTATTGTTTATTGTTTTTATACGGTTTATACTATATGTAATTATTTTTGAATTTATTTTATCTTGTGGGGCATTGATTGCTAAATGTAAAACGCCTCGAGTCGCCTCTGGGCTGAGAGGGGCGGGTATATATTTATTATTTATTTATTGTGTAAAACTTTTATATCCCGATCATCTCAACCTCCATAGTGGCAGAGGCTCCTTCTTTGGAAACTTTTAAACAGAAGCTGGATGGCCATCTGTCGGGGGTGCTTTGAATGTGATTTTCCTGCTTCTTGACAGAATGGGGATGGCCCATGAGGTCCCTTCCAACACTATGATTCTATGATCTCGACACTATATTCCTCTTGATGCCTTTTTAGCTGCCAAATCACACTTGTTAAATAGTGTTCAGCTTGCGGTCCACTAAGACTCCCGAGATCCCTTTCACATTACATTTTTATTTATATAGATGTATTTTTATATGGCATCGAATTGTGTCGACTTGTTCGCCGCCCTGATTCGCCTTCGGGCTGATATGGGCGGAATATAAATGGAGTAAACAAGTAATAAATGTATCTCTTAAGCATATATTGCAGGTGTAAAAAGTCAGTGTGAGAGCTCACTGTATTCCTTGCCAATTTTCTTGCCAGTTCTCTTTGGTGAAATCACACGTATTTTGAACCACATCATGGCCGTCACCACGCACGCCCTGGATATCGGGGCCATGACCCCCTTCTTCTGGATGTTTGAGGAAAGAGAAAAGGTATGAAGACGTGGTGTGCACAGGTAGTGATGCATGGAAATAGGATATTGTATACTATGTTGTGTTTTGCCTGTCTAGATCTACAAAAATGGTAGACCCTATCCACATAGAATAATCGCAGTCTCGTGAAATTACTCCGTAACCAAGAAGAAGCAGTGTGCTAAAATATTTCCTTTCTCTTTGATCTTTTTCTTCCCGTAGATGTTTGAATTCTACGAGCGTGTTTCTGGCGCTCGGATGCATGCTGCTTATGTCCGTCCAGGAGGAGTCCATCAGGTAAGAAGGCTCCTGAGGCGAGGGAGAGAGACTATTTCCTCTTTAAAAACCTCTTTGCTGCCTTATACTGATTCAGTTTCTTCTTTTATATTGGCAGGGACTTTCTGTGTGCTGTTAAACCTTTGTACTTTATGTCACAGGCAATTAAGCACTCTTGTGTATAACAAAGTAACACCGTTTATTTATAACTTCTGGCTCCAACGCTTGTGGTTACATTTGTGTTTTGTTGCAATCTTGAGGCTTACAGTCAGTTTCATTTACTTGGTTAACTTTTCTGAATAAACTATCAGTGTTTCACATTCACAGACATGTTACTTGCTTTACACACTCTTGGCTGAATTATATTCTGAACTAAGGCAACACTAGCCTTCTTTATGTTCCTTAAAACTTGAGCTATATTTAACTAACTGCTTCTCTATATCAGAAGTCTTTAACACATCTTCATAACTGCTTATTTCTATCAGGCACTCAAAAACCAACTCTCCTCTTCACACACAGATTCCTAACTGTCATTTTCAAACTCCCTCACTCTAACTGCCTCTTTCAGAACCTTGGCTCCGCCCCTTTGGAATGTTCCGTTCTACTCTCCCCAACTGTCATTTTGGCTTAACAGCCTTTCCAAATCCTGGGCCTAAACTAATCTGCATATGACCAATCGGCTTCACATATGCAAATGAATCCTATCTCTGCTGTTGCTACACTGTCTCTACTTATTCTTCCCTATCTGCCATATGTAAACATAGAGCTATACACCAAAACTTTAACATAGAGTACCACTACAGCTCCCAAGGGACTAAACTGGGTGATGGCCTGTTGCACTCCAGCCAGAGTTCACCTTGCCCTTAGCACCAACCAGGAATCCAAAAAGAGTAGTAAAAGAGTTTATTGAAGAGAGAACATATAAAAAGGGGAAAATCACCCAAAAGAATAAGAAAGGCAAAATTCAACAGGTAATCAGAAAAAGGTAGCCAAGCTGGTGAGGAATGTGATAAATTGCCCACCTGTAGACCAGGGAAAAGCTCAGAAAGTATGCCCAAGTATTTTGGCAGCCATTTTGTGTGAAATGGTGCCTTGGGGCAGCCATCTTAGGTTAGTCATTTCCTAGAAGATGCGGAGCTTAGGAGCAGCCTGGAGGGAAATGTGGAGAACCTTTGTTTGTTTTTTAATATACTTTTATTGGTTTTCTTAAAATACATCAATACCTTCAAWACTCTTATATTCAATACTCAGTTCATTACATCAACTATATGTGTTTACATATCTTTCATACTTTTTTTTTGGTTCACCTCTGTGCCCCCCCCCCCCTTTCCGAGCCACTCCAATTTACATTCTCTTTCCAAAATACAATTTTTTTTCTTGTGGAGGTAATTTTCCATCTACTTCTTTTAAGCCATTCTCAGTCAATTTTCTCCAAACTTCATCAGTCATTTTTCTTCCATACTCTTTTCCTGACTCTTAACCTACATGTCAATTTATCGTTTATTGTTAGTTTCCATAGTTCTTCATACCATTCTTCAATTGGTAGATTTATTTTACCTTTCCTGTTCCTCGCTATCAGTTAACATGTCATCTATTGCATCTTTCTCTGTTTTTTTTTTCAATTTCTTAACGTTATATAGTGACAACAATGCAATGCTTGCACTTTTTCCTATCTTCATATCCATTATAGRTTCTATTTCTCCAAATACCTTCCCCCAAAATTCATTTACATATTTACATTGCCACCACATATGTATATATGTACCCACCTCCTGGCAACCTCTCCAACAGTTTTTTGTGGCATTCCTATTAATATTTGCAATCTTTACTGGTGTTAAGTACCATTTCCAASAACCTTTGTGATTGGCTGGGAGAAAGTGGGCGGAACTTAGTTGGAGTGCAGAAAAAAATTGCCTTTAGGAGAGTGTTTTAAAATCTGACAGTTTTGTCAGGGTCTGAGTGTTGAAGAAGAGAGTTAGGTTTTGGGAGAGAGTTAGTAGTCAAGCCAAAGTGGTTAGTTAGAGAATATAGATAGCTATTAGTGAAGACCGTGCTCTGACCTACAAGAAGCACTGCCTGAACATCAAACAAAAAGTGGGCGCTAGAAACAATATCATACGAAAGCTGACTGGCACAGCCTGGGGATCACAACCAGACACAGTGAAGGCATCTGCCCTTGCGTTATGCTACTCTGCTGCTGAGTATGCATGCCCAGTGTGGAACACATCTCACCACGCTAAAACATTTTCAGCTCTTAATGAGACTTGCCGCATTATCACAGGGTGTCTGCGCCCTACACCATTGGAGAAATTACACTGTCTAGCCGGTATTGCACCACCTGACATCTGCCGGGAAGTAGCAGCCAATAGTGAAAGGACCAAGGCAGTGATATCTCCAGCTCATCCCCTGTTTGGGTATCAGCCAGCACGTCAACGGCTTAAATCAAGAAACAGTTTTCTAAGATCTACAGAGACACTCGCTGGAACACCTCAGCAAGCGAGAGTCCAAAAGTGGCAGGCTCAAACCCAGAACCTCAACCAATGGCTGATACCAAATGAGAGACTCCCCCCTGGGCACACAGAAGACTAGGCGACTTGAAAGGCGCTGAACAGACTGCTCTCTGGCACCACGAGATGCAGAGCCAACCTTAAGAAATGGGGCCACAAAGTGGAATCCACAACATGTGAGTGTGGAGGAGAGCAAACCACTGACCATCTGCTGCAGTGCAACTTGAGTCCTGCTACAAGCACAATGGAGGACCTTCTTATAGTAACACCAGAGGCACTCCAAGTGGCCAGCTACTGGTCAAAGGACATTTAATCAACTACCAAGTTTGCAAATTTTGTGTTTTGTCTGTCTGTTTTGTTCTGTTAGAAATGTAATAACAATTGTCTGGTTGCCCCTGACACGATAAATAAAATAAAATAAATAGTGAAGAATAGGTGGTATAGAGATTATAAACAGATCCAAGGGAAAGGACTGTTTCAAGTGTTGGAATTCTAGTCAGAAGGAAGTCTGCTAGTTTCCTGAGGGAGTGAAGAGTTGTATTGGAAATCAAGTACTGAACCGTTTGAAAGTAACCATAAGCTTCATTTCATTCTTGCAACCGTTACGCTTAAGTGCCTGTGTTTTTGAAAACCACACAAATAAACAACTTTGTTCTTTGTTAATCAACAACTGTCTCAGAGTGCCTCTGTGTGAAGAAGTTCCAAAGCAAGTTAAGGAAAAAGATTTCCCAGCATGGTGGCTGCGACAATTTAGAAGAATCTCCATGTTATTCACCTCAGTGTTCTTAGCCCTGAGTGCGAATTCAGCACATTCCAACTTACTTAAAAGCTCTGGTCAAACACAAACTGAAAACTATTTTTTAAATGTGGTGGTAATCTGATTCCATAATAAGGATTCCTCAGAATATGGTGTATTGGCGGCAAAGTCTCTGCAGACTCTAATTTATTAAACGAATTTAAATAATAATTTTTATAAGGAGTAAAACATTTCTCCTCACCATATAATCCAAATGGTACAGGAAAACAACAATCATAACATAAGCATAATCCAAGGAAACAAGAATCAAAACATGAACATAAATCCAGAACAACAAGAATCAAAACATGAACGCGAATCCAAAACCAAGGCTATAAGAACTTCTCAAAACATGAATCAAAACTTCCAGGAACTTAGACTAAAAATATGAACTGGAAGCAGGACTTGATATCTTTGCTATTACACAGCGTTGCCTGATCTGAATTCTCAATGCGATGCTTTCTAATTTAAGGCCTGCAAAACATGAAGGCATTTCTTTGACCTTGACTTTCTGGCTTGTGAAACTTTCTCTGCGCTTCTTTCTCACAGGGTCTTTTAGATTTCCTGAGCTTGATGTTTTTCTCCCTAAGATCAAGCCCAATATCCTTGTCTAGCCCAGATGTTCCCTCAGACAAGCTATCTTGGTCTGCCAGGTCTTTATCAGGGGTTGCTAAGCTCCTTGTGGGCAAAAGGTCATCTCCTTGTCTGCTGGACTCAAAAACAGTTGCACTTTCAAGACCCATCTGACAGACAGAATCTTTCTCTGAAATTTCCTCATTTCCCTCATTGAAAGAACCATCCACCATTTTGGTTGGACTTTGAAACCCCAATCCCCTCATCTTCCTCTGTCTGAGCCACAACATGACGTGCTGAATGAGCAATCACCAATGGGATGGGGGGGACAGCTCAGCACCAGTACATGTGAAACTTACTTAAGCGATCCCTCGTTGGCCGAGTAGGATAGTTTTCCAGGATCAGTGTCCTGGGGGTGGGTCCGTAGGTGACTGTAGAGCCCTATTCTTGATCTGCATCTTCTCCCGCAGTGAGGGCATTGGTTTCCAGGTGGAAGGCGGTCTCGGTCAGGGTTGGCTTGACCGTTGGGGTTCAGCCTGGGTCAGAACCTGAACCTGATTCTCTGATTGTATTTCCTGATGCTACTGAAAATGTATTTTCTGATGCTAATGAAAATGTTGATTCTGAGGTCAGTGTAGAAGAAACTCCTGCAGGCTTGGAAGGCTTGGAAAGTGAAAGTACACATTCTCATGAGAATGTTTCAGAGCCAAGCGGTGATAGCTCTCCAGAGAAGCTAACACCTGGGATCCTTAATGAGGATAGAAGAGGACAGATTTGGAAAAACAGGAGTGAATCGCAGAGTCTGCGAAGGTCAACCAGATTAAAAGAAAAAGAAACAAGGGCTTCAAAGCCTGGAGGCGTGTCACGAAACAGTTTCCTCGGCTTTAAGTGCCTCCCGCCAGGTTGACTCTTTAGATCAGGCATCGTTTTAGACTGAGGCATTACCTTGGCAGATCTCCTGTTTCCCGTGGCCTTCATCCCAAGAGGCTTCTAGTGCTCCAAGTACGGTTAGTGGATTGCTAACAGGTTCCAGGATTTTACAGTGTTGCTTTTGGTTTTTGATCTAGTTCATGGATATTCCTGATTGCTGATTTTTACTGTGGCTTTTTGACTTTGCAATTTTCCTCTATTTTGTAACCATTTTTCATCAATAAAAAGGGATTGTTTTTTCCCACAGTCAAGTGTGGTGGATTGTTGTCTTCCGGTCGGGGTTGGCTTGACGCGCCTTCCTCTTGGCACGTTTTTCTCTTTCACCCTCCATTCGTGCCTCTTCAAATTCTACAGCACTGCTGGTCACAGCTGACCTCCAGCTGGAGCGCTCAAGGGCCAGGGCTTCCCAGTTCTCAGTGTCTATGCCAGAGTTTTTAAGGTTGGCTTTGAGCCCATCTTTCAATCTCTTTTCCTGCCCACCAACATTCTGTTTTCCGTTCTTGAGTTCGGAGTAGAGCAACTGCTTTGGGAGATGGTGGTCGGGCATCCGGACAACGTGGCGGTCCAGCGGAGTTGATGGCGGAGGACCATCACTTCAATGCTGGTGGTCTTTGCTTCTTCCAGCACGCTGACGTTTGTCCGCCTTGTCTTCCCAAGAGATTTGCAGGATTTTCCGGAGGCAGCGCTGATGGAATCGTTCTAGGAGTTGCATGTGACGTCTGTAGACAGTCCACGTTTCGCAGGCATATAGCAGGGTTGGGAGGACAATAGCTTTATAGACAAGCACCTTGGTATCCCTACGGATGTCCCGGTCCTCAAACACTCTCTGCTTCATTTGGAAAAGTGCTGCACTCACAGAGCTCAGGCGGTGTTGTATTTCGGTGTCGATGTTGACTTTGGTGGAAAGGTGGCTGCCAAGGTAGCGGAAATGGTCAACATTTTCTAATGTTACACCATTAAGCTGTATCTCTGGCATTGGAAAGGGGTTGGCTGGTGACTGCTGGAACAGCACTTTGGTTTTCTCGATGTTCAATGACAGGCCGAGCTTCTCGTGTGCTTCTGCGAAGGTGTTTAGAGTGGCTTGTAGATCTTCTTCTGAATGTGCACATACAACGTTGTCATCAGCATACTGGAGTTCTATAACAGATGTTGTTGTAACTTTGGTTTTGGCTTTCAGTCTGCTGAGGTTAAACATGTGAAAAGGGATTAAGGTTCATACATTGATCTTGTCCCAATAGTGTGATGCTGCAGCAACGAAGGCAGATGCATTTTAGGCTGCATGAAGACAATCATAGTTTTTAAGTGAAGTAATCATCTCGCCAGTTTTGTGCCAGACAGGCCTCAAATGGAGGAAATAACCAAGTTGGAACAGCTTCAGAAAAAGGGCAACAAAGAGGATAAGAAATATGGAGACCAAAATGTATATGAGAAGGTTGAGAGAAGGATTGCACTCTTGGGATGCCATGTTTTCAACTTGTAAACATCTTGCCTTTCTTTTTCCACCAAAACTCAGGACATGCCTTTGGGTTTGATGGATGATATCTATGAGTTTGTGAAGAATTTCTCCATCCGGATAGACGAGGTGGAAGAGGTAAGACTCTCTCACACTTCGAAATCAAAGGAGAGGCGGGTAATAAATTAAAATGTTGTTGTTGTTGTTATGTTGTTGTTGTTGTTGTTGTTATAACATCAGGAAATCTAAAAATAATCACCTAGATCAGTGTTTCTTAACTTTCCTAATGCTGCAACCCATTAATACACTTCTTCATGTTGTGGTGACCCCCCAACCATAAAATTATTTTTGATGCTACTTCATAACTGTAATTTTGCGACTGTTATGAATTGAAATGTAAATATTTATTTACTTATTTCTTTACGACATTTATATGCCGCCCTTCTCACCCCGAAGGGGACACAGAGCGGCTTACAAGTAAAAAGTAAATACAATATATAATATTATTGTCATAGCACAATATTAATATTATATATTACATTGTACTATAACAGTGTTTCTCAACCTGGGGGTCAGGACCCCTTTGGGGGTCACCAGTGGGTGTCAGAGGGGTCACCAAAGACCATCAGAAAACATAGTATTTTCTGTTGGTCATGGGGGTCCTGTGTAGAAAGTTTGGTCCAATTCTATCGTTGGTGGGGGTCAGAATGCTATTTGATTGTAGGTGAACTATAAATCCCAGCAACTATAACTCCAAAATGTCGTCTATTTTCCCCAAATTCCAACAGTGTTCATATTTGGGCATATTGAGTTTGATGCCACAGTGCTCTCTGGATGTAGGTGAACTACAACTCCCAAACTCAAGCTCAATGCCCACCAAACCCTCCTAATATTTTCTGTTGGTCATGGGAGTCCTGTGTGCCAAGTTTGGTTCAATTCCATCATTGGAGGAGTTCAGAATACTCTTTGATTGTAGGTGAATTATAAATCCCAGCAACTACAACTCCCAAATGTCAAGGTCTATTCTTCCCAAACTCCACCAGTGTGTTCAATCATGGTGGAGTTCAGAAGGCTCTTTGATTGTAGGTGAACTATAAATCCCAGCAACTCCAGCATTACCAAATGACAAAATCAATCATCCCCAACCCCACCAGTATTCAAATTTTGGGCATATCGAGTATTTGTGCCAAATTTGGTCCAGTGACTGAAAATGCATCCTGCATATCAGATATTTACATTACAATTCATAAAAGTAACAAAATTACAGTTATGAAGTAGCAACGAAAATAACGTTATGGTTGGGGGTCACCACAACATGAGGAACTGTACTAAGGGGTCGCGGCATTAGCAAGGTTGAGAACCACTGTACTATAACATTATCTATATAAATAAAAATGTAATGTTCGTTTGTGGTATTCACAGAACTCAAAACCCACTGGGGGAATTGACACCAAATTTGGACACAAGACACCTAACAACCCAATGTATGTCCTTCACTCAAAAAAACTGATTTTGTCATTTGGAAGTTGTAGTTGCTGGGATTTATAGTTCACCTACAATCAAAGAACATTCTGAACCCCACCAACGATGGAATTGAACCAAACATGGCACACAGTTCTCCCATGACCAAACAAAAAAATACTGGAAGGGCTTGGTGGACAGTGTCCTTTGGTTTTGGAGTTGTAGTTCACCTACATCCAGAGATCACTGTGGACTCAAACAAGGATGGATCTGGACCAAACATGGCACGAATACTCAATATGCTTAAATGTGAACACTGGTGGAGTTTGGGGAAAATAGAATCTTGACCTTTGGGAGTTTTAGTTGCTGGGATTTATAGTTCACCTACAATCACAGAGCATTCTGAACCCCACCAATGATAGAATTGGGCCAAACCTCCCAAACAGAACCTCCATGTGGGCCACAGCAAAGCATGGCAGGGGACAGCTAGTACTGTAATATTATTAGTAATATTACATCTATATAAATAAAAATGTAATGTTTGTTTGTGGGATTAACATAACTCAAAAACCACTGGACGAATTGACACCAAATTTGGACACAATACACCTATCAAGCCAATGAGTGTCCATCACCCCTAAGCACGCACACACACACAAAACCCCAGCAGAACTGAATTAAAAAACCCCAAAAATACACCATATATACATATACGCATACATTCATATACACATGCACACATTCATACACACATGTATTATATATATGCAAACACACAAATATACACATATACACACATACATATAGTTACACACATATATACATATACACATGCACACATATACATATATATACATATATATATCCATATACATACATATTTACACACAAATATGCATATAGACAAGCACACACATACACAATATGCATGTACACATATAAGCACACAAATCCAGAAATACACACACACACACACACACACACACACACACACATATATATATATATATATATATATACACACACACACACACACACAAATATATACACACACAAAACACATATACACAGACTGGGCCACAGCAACGCATGGCGGGGGATGGCTAGTTTAATATAAAATATCTGATATGCAGGATGTATTTTCATTCACTGGACCAAATTTGGCACAAATGCCTGATACACCCAAATTTGAGTACTGGTGTGGTTGGGGTGGGGGTTGATTTTGTCATTTGGGAGTTGCAGTTGCTGGGATTTATAGTTCACCTACAATCAAAGCATATGCTAAACTCTAGCAACGATGGAATTGAACCAAACTTGGCACACAGAACTCCCATGACTAACAGAAAAAACTGGAAGGGTTTGGTGAGCATTGACCTTGAATTTGGGAGTTGTAGTTCACCTACATCCAGAGAATACTGTGGACTCAAACAATGATGGATCTGGACCAAACTAGGCATGAATCCCCAATATGGCCAAATATGAATACTGGTGTAGTTTGGGGAAAGTAGACGTTTAAATTTGGGAGCTGTAGTTGCTGGGATGTATAGTTCACCTACAATCAAAGCACATTCTGAACTCTAGCAACGATGGAATTTAACCAAACTTGGCACACAGAACTCCCATGACTAACAGAAAATACTGGAAGTGTTTAGTGGGCATTGACCTTGAATTTGGGAGTTGTAGCTCACCTACATCCAGAGAGCACTGTGGACTCAAATAATGATAGATATGGACCAAACTTGGCACGAATTCTTAACATGCCCAAATGTAAACACTGGTAGATTTTGGGGGAAATTAACCTTGAGACTTGGGAGTTGTAGTTGTTGGGATTTATAGTTCACCTACAATCAAAGAGCATTCTGAACACCACCAACAATAGAATTGGGCCAAACTTAATAATAAATAACAAAACTTTATTTATATGCCGCTCTATCTCCCCAAGGGGACTCAGAGCGGTTCCCAGGTAACATCACAAAACATACAAAGTAAAAACGACATAACCATAAGATTAAGAAAATGACATAACCATAAGATTAATTTCCCTTGCAATGGTGTTCCAGAGGCGGGGGGCCACCACCAAGAAGGCCCTCTCTCTCATCCCCACAGAGAACCCCATGGCCAACAGAAACAGTGTTTTGTGATGGTCTTTGGTGACCCCTCTGACACCCTCTCGCGACCTCTCCAGGAGTCCCGACCTCCAGGTTGAGAAACACTGACCTAGACCTTTTAGAAAACCTATTGCCTTTTCTCAACTGTTGCAGGGATGTTTTAGACTCTCCAACTACAAACTACGGGTCTCTGGAAGGATCTGTGGCTCGTTTATATTTTGTGTTTTTTTAATGTCATGTTAAAACTTGTGTTAAGATATCTTGTTTTTGACATTGAATGGCTCACAGAATTGTTCCTGATTTGTGTCTCTTACACTCTGGTGTGCCTCTCTTTTTCTTTGTATTTTGTTAAATTAAGTAAAATAATATTTTTGCAATTTTTGAATCCATGTTGCTTCCTTCCAGAAGCACTTTTTGAGCATCACTTGATCTGGTGGTGGAATAATCACTCATTTAAGCCTTTTTTAAAACCCTCCATCTGTTGGAAGATTAATCAGCTGATTTATGTTTCCTTTTCCCATTGCAGATGCTCACTAACAATCGGATCTGGAAAAACCGGACTGTTGATATCGGAGTGGTGACCTCAGAGGAAGCCCTCAATTACGGCTTTAGGTAGAAAATTCTGGAAATTGACATTGAACATGGGGCTTTTGAGGTGGAGTTGTGGGAATGATGACGAGGGACGAGTGGCTCGAAGGACAAAGGGTGAAGCCCAAGATGGCCGTATGTTTGAGCTTAGGAGCTCTTCCTTCTATCACTTAAGACTATCACTTAAGCCCTTTAGGTGTTTTGGACTTCAACTCCCACAATTCCTAACAGCTAATTAATTAATTAAGACACATCCATTAAAATCGAAATCCAAAAACCAGTCCGGGTCAATTCATTACCATCATTTGTGTGATTTTCTTCCACTTGCTGCTCACTGATCAAACYCTTGGTTCCATAACCAGGTCTTGATTTTCCTTCTAAAAGACAAGAGGGAGGTGGCCAATCTGATATCTCTAGGGAGGGTGTTCCATAGGCGGGGGGGCCACTGCTGAGAAGGCTCTGTCTCTCGTCCCCACCAACCYCGTTTGTGATAGTGATCGGATCGAGAGCAGGGCCTCTCCTGAAGATCTTAAACTTCGTGATGGTTCATGGCAGGAGATACGTTCGGACAGGTAGTCTGGGCCAGAACATTTTAGGGCTTTAAAGGTTAAAACCAGCACTTTGAATTGTGCTCGGAAGCTTTTTTTTTTTTTTTTTTGTCGTGTCAGGAGCAACCGCTCCTGTTGTGAAGGTGATCTGTAGCCAGTGGAGTTGATGTAACAAAACATTGTATGATCCCTGTACCTCGCTCTGGTGAGCAACCTGGCCACCGACCGTTGGACTAGTTGAAGCTTCCAGGCAGTCTTCAAAGGCAGCCCCTCATAGAGTGCGTTGCAGTAGTCTATTCAGGATATATGTAACTAAGCAGAAGAAAGTAAATTGAATCTGGCTTTCGTGCATTCTGTGTGACGTGCCTCTTTTTCCTTGGCAGCGGAGTGATGCTCCGTGGCTCAGGGATACAGTGGGATCTTCGCAAAAGCCAGCCTTATGACGTCTACGATCAAGTGGAGTTTGACGTACCAATTGGATCGCGAGGCGACTGCTATGACAGGTATGACTCTTTTGTTTGTAATTAATCTATTAGCCGTCCCCTGCCACATGTTGTTGTGGCCCAGTCTGTATATATGTGTTTTGTGTGTATGTATATGTGTTGATATGTGTGTATATATTTGTGTATCTGTGCATATTTGTGTTTATATATGTATATGTATGTGTGCATGTGTATATTTGTGTGTGCTTGGGTGTGTGTGTATATATATATACATATACGTGTATGTGTGTGCATGTGTATATGTATATGACTGTATGTTTATATATATGTGTGTGTGTGGTGTATTTTTGGGGTTTTGAAGTCTGTTCTGCTGGCGGGGGGCTGTTGTATTTTTAGGGGTGATGAACACTTGTTGGACTGTTAGGTGTATTGTGTCAAAATTTGTGTCAATTCGTCCAGTGGTTTCTGAGTTATGTTAATCCCACAAAGAACATTACATTTTTATTTATATAGATTTACGACATTTATATGATTCTTTTAACTCAGTGTTTCACAACCTGGGGGTTGGGATGCCGGGGGGGGGAGGGGTCATGAGGCAGTTTCAGAGGGGTCACCAAATACCATCAGAAACCATATTTCTGATGGTCTTAGGAACCCTTTTGCCAGAGAAAGCTGAAGATCTCTCATGTGCAGGCAAGGGAGAGTGTGCAAGGCCAACGAGTCCCTTCAAGGCATGGGGGTTCTGTTTGGGAAGTTTGGCCCAATTCTGTCGTTGGCGGGGTTCAGAATGCTCTTTGAATGTAGGTGAACTATAAATCCCAGCAAGTACAACTCCAAAATGTCAAGGTTTATTTTCCCCAAACTCCACCAGTGTTTACATTTGCACATATTGAGTATTCGTGCCAAGTTTGGTCCATAATAGTTTGAGTCAACATTGAGCTCTGGATGTAGGTGAACTACAATTCTAAAACCCATCAAACTCTTCCAGTATTTTCTGTTAGTCATGGGAGTTCTGTGTTCCAAGCCATCGTTGGTGGAGTTCAGATGCTCTTTGACTGTAGGTGAACTATCAATCCCAGCAACTACAACTCCCAAATGACAAAATCAATTCCTCCCAACTCCACCAGAGTAAAATTTGAGCATATCAGGTATTTGTGCTCAATTTGGTCCAGTGAATGGAAATACATCCTTCATATAAGATATTTACATAATGATTCATGTCAGTAGCAAAATTTTAGTTATGAGGAGGCAATTTCATAACTAAAGAGCCGGGCACATTTACCCTGCAGAAGAGAAGGCTGAGAGGAGACATGATAACCATGTATAAATATGTGAGGGGAAGTCCTAGGGAGGAGGGAGCAAGCTTGTTTTCTGCTTCCTTGGAGACTATGACGCAATGGAACAATGGCTTCAAACTACAAGAAAAGAGATTCCATCTGAAGATGAGGAAGAACTTCCTGACTGTGAGAGCCGTTCAGCAGTGGAACTCTCTGCCCCGGAGTGTGGTAGAGGCTCCTTCTTTGGAAGCTTTAAAGCAGAGGCTGGATGGCCATCTGTTGGGGGTGCTTTGAATGCAATTTTCCTGCTTCTTGGCAGAATGGGATTGGGATGGATGGCCCATGAGGTCTCTTCCAACTCTAGGATGTCATTGTAATGATCTCAGTACAGCAAGGCACTGAAACTCATCTTGTCTAAAAGCTATTTTATTAAACACAAAATAATAATATTTACACTAGAAGCTAAGCAGAACAAAGGCTTGCTTCCATCTCTCACGACAGCTACATGGTTCTTCTTCAACACGTTATCTACATTTAGCACCTCCTTACATTCCACAGTGACGTGATGACATATGACGTACTCGATGCTGCATAGCGCACATAGCTCTCCACACTAAGATTTACAACTCTATAGGAATGCCTATCCTCTTCATGATACTCTTTCGACACAGGAATTACAACTCGGCACATTGCATTACATAGCATCGCATTTCTAACACACAAACACTAACTTGGAAAATTACAATACACTTAAATCAAAACATTCATCAACATAGGATTCTATGATTCTAGGGTTGAGAGCAGGGCCTTGCAAGGAGGTGATCAGAGTGGAGAGAAAGCACACACTGCTGTCGTGCGACAGGAGAGTAGAGGGAGATTTATTGTTTATTTCTCTGAATTCTGCCACCAACTGGTATAGTGGAGGCCAATTGTTATATGTAATCTATGGTAACTGCCACCAACGTGAGATATGAGGTATTACTGTGAGATATGGCAATACAGACGCAGAATGGATGGAAATGAGACTGTCTCCAACAAAAGCTAACTGGTTTATTGAGTACAAAGCGTGTGGTTACAAGTTGAAACTTAATTTATAGAACTTTGAATAATACTTGGTTAGTTAAACATTTCACTCTTCCAGGTTACACAGTATCTCACTGAGGTGAAGCTCTTATTACTAAACAATGTTTCAGTACAGGACTATCTTCCCTATTTGATCTTTCCTTGATCAAATAAATTAACAAGCTTATCCTTTAGCCTTTCCCTTGACTAAAGAAAACTGGCTATGTTTCTCCTTTCAGCCTCCTAAGACTGAGAAACCTCCAGTAGCTATTCAGGCTTCCCAAAGCCACAATTCTTTGCTTCACACTTCACTCTCCCACTCTACTCTTCACTTCCACTCTTTTACTCCTCTCAGATACAAAATCAACTCCCAACTGACTCTCCAACTGTCTGTTTTCAAAACTCTCTCCACTTGGCTCCTCCCACTCCTCCTTCTGCCAGCTTGCCTTGGTCTCCATGGTAACGCTGACTGAGGTTCTCTGAAATAGGCTGCTCCAGTGTTACTGTAGCTAACCCAAACACATATATATACAGTTTAAAACATGCAAAGTATTAATAACTTCTGCACAGGCCTCTCCAGATGATCTTAAGTTTCGTGATGGTTTGTACCAGGAGAATATGTTTGGACAGGTAGTCTGGGCCAGAACCGTTTAGGTTGAAAATAATGTTATGGTTGAGGGTCACCACAACATGAGGAACTGTATTAAGGGGTCACCAGTATTAGGAAGGTTGAGACCAAACAAGCAAGAAATTCAATAGCCGTTGCATACTATTTCTCCTTAATGAAAGGTTTTCACCGTTTTATACTTTACTCTGTTCTGGCCTGCTTCCCCAAAACCAACCACACCCTTGATTTTCTCTCAACAGGTATCTCTGTCGGGTCGAAGAGATGCGCCAGTCCCTCCGCATTATCCTGCAGGCTCTGAACAAGATGCCGGAAGGTGAGATCAAGGTGGACGATGCCAAGATCTCTCCTCCCAAAAGGGCAGAGATGAAGGTAAAATTGAACTTGTCAACAGGACATTACACCTACTTCTGGCAAAATGTGGGTCTTCGCCTCCACCCAAGTGAAAAACACAACTCCTTTTCTGTCTGAATTTTACACCGCCATTTTTCCTCTTCTTTCCAGACCTCCATGGAAGCGCTTATCCACCACTTCAAGTTGTACACAGAGGGCTACCAGGTGCCCCCCGGAGCGACCTACACTGCCATTGAGGCTCCAAAGGTATTTCAGTTATTATATTGTGCTACCGAGCACAATTCAAAGTGCTGGCTTTAGCCTATAAAGCCCTAAACGGTTCCGGCCCGAATGTATCTTCCCTTATGAACCAGCTCAGAGATTAGGATAGTCTGGGGAGGCCCTGCTCTCAGTCCCATCTCCCTCGCAAGTGCAGCTGGTGGGGACGAGAGACGGCCTTCTCAGTGGTGGCCCCTTGGTTGTGGAACTACCTCTCTAGTGACATCAGATTGGCCCCCTCCCTTGTAGCCTTCAGGAGGGAGAGTCAAAACAGTTCCATCTTGCCTCCAGTGTCATCAGTTGGGAGCCAGGAGCCCCTGGTGGCGCAGTGGGTTAAAGCCCTGTGCCGGCAGGACTGAAGACCGACAGGTCGCAGGTTCGAATCCAGGGAGAGATGGATGAGCTCCCTCTATCAGCTCCAGCGCTTCATGCGGGGACATGAGAGAAGCCTCCCATAAGGATGATAAAAAGATAAACATCAAATCATCCGGCGTCCCCTGGGCAATGTCCTTGCAGACGGCCAATTCTCTCACACCAGAAGCGACTTGTAGTTTCTCAAGTCTCTCCTGACACAACAACAACAACAAAAGCCACTTTTGGATGAATGCAATGAGAATCCAGGGAGTTGTAGTTTTACAAGAGGCTCTGAGATCAGAGTGAAGAGAGGGGCCAGTTATTATATTGTTCCTGCACTGTGCTTATAGTATAATCTATATATATATAAATGCTCTGTGCATAATGAGTACCTTAAAAAACAAAAGATCCAATGAACGAAATCACACCAAATTTGGCAACAAAACGTTATATTACAGTATAATGTTATAGTACAATCTATATAAATAAAAATGTAATGTTCGTTTGTGGGATTAACAGAACTCAAAAACCACTGGACAAATTGACACCAAATTTGGACACAAGACACCTAACAACCCAATGTATGTCTTTCACTCAAAAGAATTGATTTTGTCATTTGGGAGTTGTAGTTGCTGGGATTTATAGTTCACGTACAATCAAAAAGCATTCTGAACTCCATTAATGATGGAATTGAACCAAACTTGGTACACGGAACTCTCATGACCAACAGAAAATACTGGAAGGGTTTGGTGGGCATTGACCTTGAGTTTGGGAGTTGTAGTTCACCTACATCCAGAGAGCACTGTGGACTCAAACAATGATGGATCTGGACCAAACTTGGCACGAATATTCCATATGCCCAAATATGAACACAGATGGAGTTTGGGGAAATAGACCTTGACATTTGGGAGTTGTAGTTACTGGGATTTATAGTTCACCTACAATCAAAGAGCATTCTGAATCCCACCAACGAGAGAACTGGGGAAAACTTCCCACACAGAAGCCCGTGACCAATAGAAAATACTTAAGGCCATCCAGTCCAACTCCCTTCACCAGGGCAAGAAAATGTAAATAAAGCCCTCCTGACAAAGAGCCATCCAGCCATAGATATGATTCACCCACAGAGAGATATAGTATTTGAAAGGGACCCCTAAAGAAGGACAATAATATGTTCCATGTTCCAGAGTAGGCAAACCAGACAATCTCTACATCAACACTGACAAAGAAACAACAAGAAGTACTGTTTATCCACAAGCAGAAAGAAATTCCAATTTATTTTATTTATTTTCAAGATTGCCAGCAACGCGTGGCAGGGGACAGCTAGTATAATATAATATAATAAATATATTATATTGTACATACATATAATATTGATAATATTATAATGTAATACAATATTATAATAATAATAAGATATTATAATTATATATTTTACATTAAATGTAATATTACTAATAATATTACAGTATGATGTTACGGTACAATATAGTGATATGTAATATTGATATTATGCTATGGTAATATTATAATATATTATACGTATTTGCATTTTACTTGTAAGCCGCTCGGAGTTCTCTTCGGGGTGAGAAGGGCGACATATAAATGTTGTAAATAAATAAATAAATCCTGATTCTGGGAGCAGGCTTTTGAAAAATAGGGCAGTGCAGTAATCTTAATGTGGAATTATGTGCAATTTATCACTGAATAGCCTTAGACATTGAACTCTGGATGGCATGTTTTAGTTTTTGAATGTTTTTACCCGCTGGGGGAGGGGGAGGACTCAAGGCGGCTTACACATGGCACCTACACAGTGCCTCAAAACATACAAAATTCACTTAAAAATAGTTTGTAATTAATATTACAACATAATAAACATGAAAATATATATAGAGAGTAGTAGCTCTCATGCTGACAATCCACAGATGTTAGTGAAATACACAAAAGCCATGTTTAAATATTTGAATTTTTCTTTCCGTGTCAGGAGCGACTTGAGAAACTGCAAGTCGCTTCTGGTGTGAGAGAATTGGCCATCTGAATTGCCTCGGGGGCGCTCAGATGTTTTACCATCCTGTGGGAGGATTCTCCAATGTCCCCGCACGGGAAGCTGGAGCTGACAGATGGGAGCTCACCCTGCTCCCTGGATTCAAACCTTTGACCTTTTTGGTCAGTAGTCCTGCCGGCACAAGGGTCTCAACCTTAGGACCCCCTTTGGCAGAGAAGGCTAAAGAGCTCTCCACCTGTAGTTCCATCGCCAATTTGGTACAGAGCTCTTTCTGAGTGCTGTTAAACTACAACTCCCAGAATTCAAAAACAGCTCCCTACAATCCCACCAGTATGCATTGTTGGCCATGTAGGTAGTGTGCCAAGTTTGGTGCAGATCCATTGTGTGCTGAGTTTAGAGAACTCTTTGATTGTCAATGAACTATATAAATCCCAGCAACTACAACTCCCTGCCTTGAGCCATCAGTGTGTGCGCTGAAGATGAAATCCCACAAAAATTCTTGCGACCAATACTGATCAAGGTTCAAAGATTGGGCCTAGCTTGAAGTTCATACAAGACAGCGCTCTTCCACCTTTGCTTCTGCCAGGACTGGTGTTAATTCTCCTCTTTTCTCTGCATTGTTGTCCTTCAGGGAGAGTTTGGCGTATACTTGGTTTCTGATGGCAGCAGCAGGCCTTACCGCTGCAAGATCAAGGCTCCTGGCTTCGCCCATCTGGTAAGACGAAATAATGCTTCGCATATGGATAAGGGAATGTGGAGTTGACCTTGAATAATGTGAGAAGAGAGCTGCTTTTTGCATGCTCCACCCAGGCAAAAGGAGGAAACTGTAAGCTATTGGAGCACTACCATTAAGGGCCGGGCTTTAACACAGCTGGTAAATCACCAGCAATGATAAGATCGATCGATTTATTTATTTATTTATTTATTTACGGCATTTATATGCCACCCTTGTCACCCCGAAGGGGACTCGGAGCAGCTTAAAAGTACAAAGTAAAGACAATATCTTATATTACTACCATAGCACAATATTAATATTATATATTACACTGTACTATAACATTATACTGTAATATTATTAGTCATATTACATTTAATATAAAATATATAATTATAATATCATATTATTA